TACTAAACAACTAAGGGAGAAAGTAGAATTCAACAGACTCCACACAAATCTTATTTCAATTCCTCATTGTGACACAGAGGTGACCCATAGTTCTCAAAGGCAATGGACAGTGACTTCTACCAAGTTCTACCAAACTGGACAGGCTTCAAGTATGATACCAAGGACAGACTGTATCTCCTGTCCAAAGACCAGTCCAGCTAAGTACAGAGGCTCTCATCACCAGTTAGTTGGCTATAGGGGATGAATTTTTTGACTATGGCAACCCATGAAACAAAGAAAACTACAAAATGGCCATTAGTTTCATGCAGCATCCTTCCTCTTCTTCAATGATAACGACAGAGAAACAGAAGAGGAGGACAGAGAGTCCTAAGAATTTCAGTCTTAGACTATTAACACATGAATATAACTGTGAAATTACTGGCCAACAAACAATTAATAGACATATGGTTGGATGAAACCAACTACAAAAATATTGATATTCTTGCTAAAAATGAAAGCTAACAACAAAAGGAAGATGCAGCTAAATGGAAGACAAATTCTCTTTGTGGAGGCAAACAAAGGAGTAGTTATTTTCATTGCGTACTCCAGAATGACAATAAACATAATTTCAGAAGATACTTTGATATCTCTCAGTGCAAGGCTCATGTTGAGCATAAACAGTAAGACCACCATGAAAAGAATCATAGCTTCTCTGTTAGCTTCTCTTGCTGAGGATGAAGAGGTGAAGAAATTATATGAATAACTCAAGAAAATCCTCCAAACAAATTCAAAATATACATTGACACTTGGTGACTTTAAGATGAGGTGCTCTTGAGAAAGATACAGGAGGAAAAAAGGAAATAAATATTTGATACTAAGAAACAAGAGGCCAAAGACTTGTAAACCACTCAGAAGTCTCATGCCTATTTATCCTGAATACTTTCTTCAAGTAGAGGGTCAGGAGATCATCTCTAAATGACTAATGATAAAGCATTTTCTTCACCTCCTAATAGAGAGGTAATGGATTCAAAGAGCAGAATGAAGCATATATTTTAGGACATCATCTGTATGTAGATTTGTTTTGCTTGACAATGTTTATTTGTTACAAGGACTATGTTTTTCTTTTTTTTTTTTCATTTAAGGTCAGAGGATTTGAAGAGAGGAGAGCTAGTGATAGTGTTGCAAAAAAAAGAAAAAAAATAAAGAAAAGAGGGTCGTTGAAACAATTTTTAAATGCGCAGAAAAGAACAGAAGAAAAAGTTCAGAAGGAAACACATATAAGCAGGACAGCTTTGAAAGTAACATGTTGAATTTATTCTGTGTATTTTTAAAATTGCAAGCTGTACATAAGAGATTCACATTTTCATATATACTCTTTTTTTGTTCTACTTGCATGTGGGAAAAAAAAGTCTTCTAGTCTATATTAAATTCAGAATTTTAAAAAATGTTCCCTAAAATACAACATCAGAAGGTACCAGGCATAGAAGGTACTGAACAACTTTTTTCTTTTTTAAGTCGTTGACTATACCTTGACAGGAAACATTGGTTATCAATGTTGGTGTCATTCCTGAGTCAGTTGTCTGTGTGTAGATAGGCCATTGATGTGTTAAAGTATGGATCAAAATCAACACAATTTACAAGAAAGGTTAAAGAGGAGAAGAAAACAGCATGCAATTATGACAACTTCAACTTAACCTATTCAAACGAGCTACTGATGGCACAAAAGGGAAGTCGCTGAAAAAAAAAGAGTGAAATGAGCTATAATTTCCAATAACAGTTTAACTGATAAAAAGAATTGCCATAACAAGTGTTAATAAATGACCCCTGGGCCCATAAAGGGACCTGAAATGAAAGAGTCCAGTACACCAATTAAATGCATTTATTGTCTGAGAAAAGGTTTGGAAGGAAAGAAGATCCTATAATGGAGCAGAAAGAGAGAAAAAGTTCTTCAGCTGCTCAAAGGGGAGAGAAAAGGGGGTGAGATAATAGCATTTCTAAGGGAAGTGGGGGAGGTTAAGGTAGCAGACACCTGTAAATACGATTAGCCAGGGAATAAAGTGTTTGTAAGTCCTGAGTCTGCAGCTGCTGCTCAAGGCTGCCCTTGAACTGTTCAAAGCTGGTCTGGCCTTTGCAGGCATCCCCAAGTTCACCTAGAGTTCACTTCACAGTTTTGCTGATATGTCCAGCAGTCCTGAGCTTCAGAAATCCTTCTAATTGGCTGGTTGTTGTGTAACTCCATTGTCCTGCTCCCCTGTGTAGAAGGGAAGCTATAGCATATTTAATCATAGAGCTCACAAAGGAGTTCATAAACTGCCTTAGCTAACGAATATTTAACCCAGGGTTTAGCCTGTGCTTGTATCCCTAAAATGTTCAAAGATCTAGAAAGAATGCCTCCAGGGCATCTGTGAAATCATAGATCCATTTGAAAGGATCAGATTGATTCTGTGTCTTTTTTAATTGATACTATTTAGTCAACTGATTTTGTCTGATAACTATCTAAGTCTTGGTTCTTTGTCTTTGAACTTAATTCAGAAATTCGAGTGGCCTGTGTAATTAGGTAAGTTTAGAAATCCAGTTCTCCTGCTAAGCACTGTTCTATTCTTGCCTCAAGGAAATCTGTTATCTTGACAGATGTGAGTGGACACCAGGGAGTCTGGTCTGATATCTTTACACCACCAAGCTATCCTTTAAGGATGTCTGGTTTTTAAAGAAATATTGTCCACTATCTCTAACCTTGCGGGTCCGCTCAAACAATGAACATTTCTCAGTCACAGGAGGAAAGGAGGGATTGTTGCTAGCTAGCCCCTCATTCCCAATTTCAAACCAATCATATTGTCCCCCAAGCCTCAGCTCTATAATCAATCATATTGATTTTGCCATTCATGATTTGGAGCTCTTTTAACCAATCATCACTTGTTCCCTGCCTACAAAGTCCTGTTCTTTGTTCTGTACTCCCCAAAACTATAAAAGAGAACTATGTCCCTCACTTGGAGTCTTAGCTTTGCTGAAGAAACTGAGATGCTATTTATTGATAAATTTGGGCTTTAAATTGAGTGTGTGGAACTTTGTGCCTCATTTTACCTTATTTTGACTGTAACACTTTGGAATATAGACTTCCAAAGCCTTAGGCTGAGGCTCCAAAGATGGACACCTGTTCTCTCAACAGAACTTACAGTCTAATATAGATAAGAACAAGTATACAAATGATGATAATACAAGAGCAGAGTGAATTAAGTCCAAAAGAATTCAGGCATAGTGCTTTGAGAAATTTGAGAAGGCAGAGATCACTTTCACCCAGAGATACAGGGAAGACTTTTAGGAGGTGACTGTTCAATTGGGCCTTGAAAAGAGAGAGATGGGAGCAAGTAGAAAAATATGAAGCTGGAAGTTGTCCCATTTGGCAAGAATGGAGGAAATATGAAGGGAAGTATCATGAGATAAGACAGGAAAAGCAAGCTAGGGGAAAATTATCAAGGTTCTTGAGTTAGGTAGGAGTTTTCATTTTATTTGGTAGGCAATAGAAAGCTAGTAAAAGTTTTTAATTTAACAAGAAGAGGACTAAGAGTTTAATATTATTAAATGAAAGCATTCTTCAATTTTTCAATGAACCCAGTCAGATCTTAACTATATAGCTTTTCTCTTGCTCCTGACCTTTCTCTACACCCAATTGGTTAGTCTAGCATGCACCCTAGCCATATGAAAAGTGGATGCTTTCCTTAGGTGAAGTCCATCTTCATTTTAGAATGCCAGGCTTGGAGTCAGGCACACCTGGGTTCAAATCCCACTTCTAACCCTTAATAGCTAAGATATTTTAAAGTCCCAGAACCAAACTTTCGCTCTCCACCCTACCTGGTGCTCAGGACTGGTTTCCTTTTCAGCTTTTCCAATTCTTTGCCAACTGTTGAACCTACTACTAAGTTCTGATGTCCTGTTCTGGACTGCTTCATTAGCAGTACACAGTACTGAGGTCCATTAGCCCATAAGAGTATTAGCACTCAACCCATTCCTCAAACTACAATCACCCACACCCTCTGGGTCCAATGAATATTTCACACCTTTTCCCACTTCTCCATCTCTCCAAAATGAAAAATCATTTTTTCTCTTGAGCCCATCTCCACCATCATGTAATGAATACAGAATGAGTGCGCTAATCTTTCAGTCTTTAGGTATGTTTTGTTGAAGAGACCACCATCCTCCCTGGAACAGGCCACTTATACACTGCCTTGGGTTTGTAGCTGGATTGTTCAGATGTTTTGTGGTCCTTGTTTCTTTGCTATGCCAACATTTCAACAAAGCAACTTTGCAAGTCAGGCAAAGGACTCTTCTGTAGACCTGGAGCTCTGTTGGAGGTGCTACTGTCTATTGAGACGTTAAAAAAAATAATAACAATAAAGACAGAAGAGTTTAAGTTGTTAGGAAATTAAGCTATATCTGGCATTTTGCCAGAGGTTGGGAGCCCCACGCCTCACAGTAATACGAGTTTCATCAGCTCGTCATCATAGGGTTTGATGAATCATCTTCCTAAACTTACTTGTTAATGTTGGTTGTGGGTTTGCTATTTAAGAAAAAAATAACGATCCATTGTTAGATAACGTCTCTTATCTGGGAGGCTTTGGTCAATTTGAGGCACCTCTTCCCTCTAGCCCTTACTTTCCCCGAGGTTCAGGCCCAAACCTTCTATTTGCCCACGTGTCCCTCTGGGGAGCTGCGAAGGGAAAGGCCAAGGAAAGAACGGGGATGGGGGGGAGGCTGCGCAGGGAATTCCCTGGCTTCCGTTCATGCTCGCTACCCCGTTATTCCATAAAAAATGGAACATTCCGATCTCTGGGCTCCTGGAGGCGGGGCTGGCCCCCTGGTGGTGTGGGAGAGCCTGTCACTCCAGGCGCGCCGCTGGAATCCGGGACAACTGGAGCGACGTTACGGGAATAGGCACCCCTCAGCGCCCCGCCTCCTCGGCCTCCGGGCGAATGCGTGCGCCCGTCCTGTCGCGCCAGAGCCAATCAGAGGCCGCCTAGCTCCGGGCCTAGGGTTGGGGGCTAGAGTGAGCGAGGAGGGGCCGTTAACTGGGCCTGCCAAGGCTGGAAACGGGAGGGCGTCTGCCTGCGTGCCCGCCCCGGGGACGGCGGGGAGGCCGGAGCGGACAGACCCGGAGGCCGTGAAGCCCGAGCTCGGCGCGGTGACCGCCGCCGCCCGCCGGAGCTAGGGCAGAGGCCCGGGGCCTGCCGCCGAATTGGAGCTGGTGGGAGGAGGAGGCATCGCCAGCTTGGAGTCGAAGCGAGGCGCCGAGGCCGCTGGTGAGGACGGGGGACCGGAGGGGCGGGAGCGGGGGATCGGAGGGGGCCGCGGGGGACTCGAAGAACTGGGGAGAGGGAAACTTGAGGGTCTAGAGCGGGGGACCCAAGAGACCGAGGTTGGGGGGGCCCAAGGAGGTGATGGGGGGTAACCTGAGGAAATAGGGGGCAGCCCCGGGCTGTGTGACAGACCGGGAGGGGGACGTGGGGCCGCCTGGTATGAGGGACTTGGACAGGAGGAGGCGACTCGGGGTTTGCTGGTTGCATAAGAGATTGGGGGGGCGAAGGGGGCGGGGGGCTCCGAAGTGGCCGCGTGAGGAGGGTCAGAGGAGCCAGTCTCCGGGTCAGAGGGACCCAGTCTGGAGCCTTGACGGGGCAGTGACGGCGCCTTCTCACTTTAAAAAAAAAAAAGTGTCTGATTTCCTTGCCTGGAAATCCCCCTCATTCCTTTCCTTCCAGATCTCCACCTCTTTACTCTACTTTCCCAAATTCGTTTCCTCCCCCGAAGACCCGACCAGCGTCTCCTGAGCTGAACCCCCTCCTCTCTTTGCACCCCCCAACAGCTTGACGCGACTCAGTTTCTCCTGGTTAAATCTGTTAGCTCTCCAGCACTCTCTCAACCACCACTTCGTCCTGAGGAATGATCAGTTCTTACTCTAGGTTTTCTCCTTCCCTTATCCTCCAACTCTCTTATCTAGACGTGGTTATGTTTAATTTTTTTATCTCCACAACAGCGAGGTGCTTCCGAGTTCACACTACCTTTACTTTCAGTAGCTGTTTGTCCTCTCTCCTGCTTCAAAGTTCATCTACATACTTTGCCAGCTAATCTCGTATATGCCTCCAAAAGCAGGAGGCGCCACTATTCAGCATTAAATATGGCTTATTCCTCACTTAATGGTGTGAGACCTAAAAATTAAAGGTTATTATAGGCATCAAGGCACTGTTATTAAAAGGGAAAGGAGCTTTGTTTTAGCCCCTACGTGAGGCTTTGGAAACTATTTTACTATTTTACTCTCCTTTTTCATTTGAGGAATACTAAGGTCTGAAAGTAAACATTGCAGCACTCTTTCTCTTGGCTCTGTCCTTTCCTTTAAGGAGTAGAAATGGAATTCAGTCACAGAAGCAGATTTAGTAGCATTGGGCCTTTTAAATTAACCCATTTTGTAGTGGCTAATTATTAGGTCAGGATAAATCTTACAGAGCAGATTTGGGTTTTTTATATAGTCTGCTGTGACTGACGACTTGAAGCTATACCAACATCTATGAGAAACTTAATGGCTAAGAGCAGTATATAAGATGGTCAGTTATTTTAGTTCTGTAACTCTATAGTGCCTTCTACTTACTTTAATTACAAACTGGAAAACTAACAGAAGCAACATGATCATTGAATTAAAACCCATAGTTGTTCATTGTGAGTCTTACAAATTCCTTTGGAATAATTCCGAATATGTTTTTATCCCAAATGAAGTGTTAGAAATGACAAAGGAAAATAAACTGTATAGCAGTATTTCCCAACCTAAAATACCTTTCAAATATTAATTCTTGACTACCTCCCCTCTACCTGCAACCTCAGTGATAAGAGTTTTCGGTGGAAAAAGAGAGATCAGGAGCTTGTGGTGAAAAGAACAGGACTCAAGAAGAGAAGCTATTTTTTTTAATGGGTAGGTTTTAATACCAAAAACTAAAGAATTATAGAATATGAGAATTGGAAGGGATCTCAGTAACCATCTAGCACAGCCTCTTCACAAAATAAACCTTTGGTGCTAAAAGTTTTGTGGATCCTTAAAAATTTGCTGAAGATTGACACATACATATAGGCTAATTATTTATATGTGTGTATGATCTTTCATATACACTCCTCTCCTCAGACACTGACGCCACACTGGTGAAGGTTCTTATCACCTCACATCTGGACTATTATAATAGCCTGCCAATTGGTCTCCTAGCCTCAAGTCCCTACTGTGGTCTGTCTTCCATTCTGCTGTCAAATTGATCTTCCTAAAGCCTATGTCTGACCATGTCACATGTACCTTCCCCCTTTCAATCAACTCCAGTGGCTCCCTATTGCCTCTAGGATCAAATATAAAATCTTGCGTTTGGCTTATAAAGCCTTGTATGACCTGCCTCCTTCCTACCTTTTAGTCTTCTTACAACTTACCACCTACTTTGTACCTTTGAGATCTATTGACACTGGCCTTGTACTGTTCCTCACAAAACACACTATTTCCCAACTCTTCCCTTTTCACTGGCTGTCCCCTGTGCCTGGAAAGCTTTACCCCCTCCTCTCTGCCTCCTGGCTTCCTTGTCTTCCTTCAAGACCCAGCTAAAGTCCTGTCTTCTGCAAACTTTTCCCAGGCCCTCTTAATACTACTTGGTACCTTCCCTCTGCTGTTCATTTCCAATTTATCTTGTATATGTTTTGTTTGTATGCAGGTCTTTGCACATTGTCTGATTAGAATATCAGTTTCTTGATAGCTTGGGTTGTTTTTAACCTTTCTTTGTATGTCCAAACAGCACAGACGTGTTGTAGGTGTGTAAGAGATGCTTGTTGATTGACTCTACTAGCAGGGGACTGGGAAAAACACCCATTTCTGGGGTGGGTTTTTTTTTCCCAGCTAAATTATTTGTGGCTCTGTTATTGTCAGTGCTATGTTATATTGATTCAGTTTTCTTAGAGGTAACAGAGTTAAGTTTTATGGAGTAGGGTTGCATAATAGATAAGAGTCCTGGACACTTAACCTTTCTGAACCTTGGTTTCCTTATCTGTAACCTGACAGAGTTAGCCTACAAGACCTGTTAGGTCCCTTCCCCCTTTGAACCTATGATTTTAAGAAACACTATTAAAAACTAATTTAGAAACAGCATTCCTGAGCAGAACTGCGGTTCTATCATGGCCGACTTGATATCCTGATCTTTAATTGCTACATTTTATGCTTATTTTAAAATATTTGCAACAATGAATACTGAATAAATGTTTTTGTAATCTTGATATAAAAGAGCACTAGACTGGGTGTCAAGAAATATTCTTCTAGCCCTGCCTCTGCTGCTGACTAGCCATGGAAATTTGGGCAAGGCTTTTACCTTTTTGGGCTCTCTTCATCTTGAAAATGAATGGTAGTCTCCAAGGTCCCTTACAGTTTTTAAAGAACTCACTGTTTCTTCACAGTTGTTGTTTGGTCGTTTCGTTGTGTCCAACTCTTCATGACCTTATTTAGGATTTTCTTGGCAAAGATACCAGAGTGGTTTGCCGTTTCTTTCTCCTCCCTCATTTTATAGATGTGGCAAACAGGGTTAAGTGACTTGCCCAGGGTCACACAGCTAGTAAGTATGTGAGGCCAGATTTGAACTCAGGAAGATGAATCTTCCTGATTGCAGACCTGGTACTCTCTCCACTGAACCACCTAGCCCCCCCTTCCTCACAGTACATACAGTAATTTTTGATGAGCATTAAGAACATTGAATATATTAAATTTAGATTTGTTAGTTTATTAGGTAAAACATGCAGATGAAGCTGTCTACCAATACTCACACTTTTAAAATCTGATTCTAAAAGAAAACTGGAAATTAACTTGTCACATCTCAGCAATTATTTTAGATATTCTCTTTCAGAAAAATCCATGTTTAGAAATTACTGGCATTGTTAGGAATTCTCAAATTATAAAACTAGATGAGATAGTCAACAAATATTTGTTAAATGAATGCTGTATACAAGGTACTCTACTAGGTTCTGGAAATACAGAGATAATAAGACAGACCCAGCTCTCAAGGTACTTACCACTTAACCATTTAGAAGCCTATCTAGTCTACTGTGATCCAGTTGTCAGAAATCACATACTGAAAATTTTGTCTAAATAGTATCTTTTTTTAATATATTGCTTGGAAAAGATACTTTATGTTTATCTCCTTTTGCAGAAGAGTTCATGACAAAGAGATAGTTCCTACCATTATATTCCTAAGTAACCATGTGCCTGGCTGGGATCCTATAACCATTAGCTGAAAAATTTATGACAGTAGAAATGATTAATATACCCAAATGTCCCAAAACTGTCAGCAAGGATTAGACAAGTCCCTGATTCTGCTCCTACAAATATCCCCAACCTATACTAAAGTCTGAAAGCCATGCTCAAATTTTGGTCTCAACAGCTAACCAAGCCAAAGTATGGAGTGGAAAGCTTAAATGTCACTCAAAACCTCTCTGCTCAGGATGATCTGTTCTCATAATCAAGATCTATCCTCATAGTAATGCCCTTAAATTAAGTGCATTAATAGAAAAATAGTGCCTAGAATATGAATAGTAATAATTGTATAGTACTGTGCCCTGATTAGACCATATCTGGAGTATTGTTTCTATTTTGATGCATTACATTTTAGGAAGAGCATTGCCAAGCCAGAGCAGGTTCAGAGGAAGGGCAGTCAGGATGGTAAAAGGGACTTGAAACCATGATATATTGAAAAATGGTTAAAGATATTGGAATTTTATAGTTTAAATAAGAGAAAGTTTGAAGGAAAGGTAAAAATAATAATATTCCTGTATTTAATGGATTGTCATGTAGTGTAAGAGAGATTAGATTCATTTCATTTGGCCCGGAAGTAGAAGTTACAGAAAGGCAAATAATGTCTTGATATAAAGAACAGTTTAACATTTTAAAGCTGTTCCTCAGTGGAACTTCTCAGTGGAGGTGTTCAAGTGAAAGCTAGGTAGTAACCTGTGGTAGGAAGGTGGGGGATGCAGGTACAGAGATGTTTGTTCCAGATTGGAGTTGGACTAAATGATCCTTGAAGTTTTTTCCAAACCAGGTAACTTCAGTTTTAAATATGGTCAATTTGAAGTAGTGCTGGTACATCAAAATGAATTGCCTCCTTTGGCAGTTGCACACTAGGCAATTGGAGTGACTGGGTTTGTTTGTTTTTAAAGCATGTAATTGTCTATAATAGTTTCTGACAATTTACTTGATTTCCTTTATTTATATTGTGAACTCCCCCTTATAATTTTTTATTTTCATAATTTTAAAAAATCTGTTTAGTTTTTTAAAAACTTTTATCATCATACTGTCTTTTTGTTTTCTGCTTTGTTTGCCTCTGATTTTCAGAATTTCTACTTTTATGTTTGTTTGGGGGTTATCAATTTGTTTGTTTCTTAGTCTCTTTACTTACATATTTAATTCATTGATATTATCATTCTCTGTTGTGATGATGTGCTTAAAGATATAAATCCTCTACACCTTGTTTTATGTATGCGCAACAAAGTTTGTGCTGTTTCTTTAATACAATAACATGCATTTTTATTATTTGTTCTTTAAAACTCTTTAGGTTTACATTATTCTTCATTTAATTCTGAATCATTTCTTCATATATGTATTATTATGTGATTTTTATTGATTTATAAAGAATGTATTTATTATTTATGCATTTCTATATTTGTTTATGAATACTTTATGCTCAAGTACATGGTCAGTTTTTGTAAAGTAATGCAATACTGAAAAATATGTATTCCTGAAGATTCTCATTTAAGTTTTATCATTTAACTTTTCTAATATTCTGTCTAGCTCTTAGCTCCTCTCTTGTTTATCTTTGTTATATTTTTCTATGCCTGATGGAGGCATGTTGAAGGCTTAAACAATTATTCTATTGTCTTGACCTTCCTGTAGTTTGATTAGCTTTTCTTTTAAGTGTTTAGATGCTATACCATTCAGTGCTTATATATATATTTAATATTGATGTTTTTTTTAATTTGTGGTGCCTTTAAACACTATGTAAACCCCTTGCTTATTTATTTTGATCGTGACTTTTTTTTGTCTGAAATTTGTCTGAAATATTACTTACTCCTTTTTTTTTAATTTGGTTGAGATATAAGTTCTGCTCTACCTCTTCATTTTAGCCCAATATGAATCTGATTTTAAGTATATTTCTTATAAACAAATTATTGGATTTGCTTTCTGATCCTTTTTGCTAGATATTGTGGTGCAGCGGAAAAGGTCCTGGATTTGGAGTCAAGAAAACTGGTTTTAAGTTCTGGCTCTACCACTTACTGCATGATCTTGGACAAAACACTTAATGTCTGTGAACTCCCATTTCTTCATCTGTAAATATACCTTCCAAGTCAAAAGTTATGATTCTCTAACTCTTCTCTTTATGGGTGAGTTCATCCCATTCATAATTATGATCATTAAATTTGTTTTGCTTTCCATATCCTGTTAAATTTTTTTTCTTCATACTCCACTCCCTTATTTAGAAAGTTGGACAGTAGTGAGAAGTATAATCACCACAAAGTGCCTGTAATTTATATTGTTCAGAAGAATCTAATACCAATCCAAAACACTGGCTCTTGAACTGTTCTTCCTCTCCCCTCTCCCCCTTTGCTCCTCTGCTTTCATAGACAGCCTTCTATAGTTGTAGTTTGTGTCTTTCACATCTCCAACTTTATGCCCTATCTGCCTTGGCCTTATGCCCTGTTTATTTTATTACTACAACTAGGTTTTCTTTTCTTTTCTTTTTTTTTTAATCTTCCATTGCCTTAGTCAGAAAAATATAATATTCATGGGATACCTACTCTCCCAGTCTCCTGTTGGAATAATTTTCTCCTCTATGTTCCTTCCTCCCCACTCCTAGGATATTCTTTTTCTATGGGGACAGGTGGTGGTGGAAATCTAAGCCTGAGCTTCTCTTACACTTTGTTCCCTTACTGACCCTTAAAATTTTAAGATATTTAAGAGGCACAATAAATATTTCCTCCTTCCCCTTTGAGGATATAAGCTCTTGATTATATCACTTGTCACAGAGCCCCTTAGTTTAGGATGAAGGCCTGGGAGAATGAACTTCCAGAAATTTTAAAAATTATCTTTATTTTATTTTTGTCCTTTTGCTCATATGGCACATTTCCTAAAGTTTTTGAGTGGCTAGTATAGAGTGCTAGGTTTGGCTACATCCTTTTATTTCTCTGTCTCACCAGAGAGCATTCTCAAAGATTTTATGGATTCGAAAACATAAGCATATGGATACATAATAATTGTCACCTTGATTTATCCTCTTTTTTGGGGTAATATTCTTATCCATGTGTTTTTCCTATCATCTGGCATCTTCCCCTCTTTCATGTATCTTGAAAATCTGTCCCGTCAATGCTTTGTAGATCCATTTGTCTTCAGCAGGGATCTCTTCTGAGTATACTTACTTTGGTTCAGCCTATCTTAAATTTCCATTTTATGAAGCTCATCGTCTGATGAGTTGTTGAAGTCCAGATATGTTCCATTCTCATCAGTGATGAAACTGGATGGCTGAAGAAATGCTAACATATATGTTCTCCTTTTTTTCTTCCCTACTTAACCCATTTTCATCTCTAAGTGCTTTTAAAATGATCCAAGTTGGATCTTAAGACTTGTTTTCTCCTACTTTTTACTATTTTGTAAGGTGGTGCTTCTTATAATCTTCCACTGTTCTCCGTAACATTTTACAAGTGAGTTTATACTCAAAACCAGAGCTGTCCTTGGCTACTCTCACTCCTTGCCTAGCAAGAAAATCAAGTTTTTGGTACTTTAGCTCTTTCTTTCTAGCTGCTTGCTGTATTTTTTTCTTGACTTGGCATCTCTGTTTTTTGGCTATAGCTTAGAGTGTCTTTCAGGAGGTAGATTCTTTCTGTTTTCACTTTGCCCTCTGGCTCGAAGAGATCTGGGCAGTTTTCCCTTAAGATTTCTTAAAATATGTTATCCAGGTTTTTTCTTTGATCATGATTTCAGGTAATTCAGTGATTTTTTTAAAAAAAATTATTTATTTGATCAGTTTTTACAAGTATTATCTTACCCTTCTCTTCCCTTCCAATTTGAACAAGAAGAGAAAAAGGAAAAAAAAAACCCTAAATAGATACTCATAGCCCAGCAAAATAAATTCCCACATTGGCCATATGTGTCACCTCTCTGGAAGGAGGGTGAATAATGCATTTTGTCATCAGTTCTCTGGAGTCATTGTTTATCACTCATTATCACAGAGTTTTAAAGTACTTTGAAGTTGTTTTTCTTTGTAATGTTGTTGGTATAGTTCCATTTACTTCATTCAGCATCAGTTTATAGAGGTCTTCCCAGTTTTCCTTGAAAACTGTACATTTCATAATTTCTTATAGCATAATCGTTAACAGTTATATGCCATGATTTATTTAGCCATTCTCCAGTATATAAAAGCCTCCTTCCCCATTCCCCCCACTACAGTTTCCATTTTGAAGGTACTACCAAAAAGAAAACTGCTATCAATATATTCATATACATATTCAAGTCCTTTTCTTCTTTCTTTAGTCTCTTTGGGATATAGGCTTAGTAATGATATATAGCTGGGTCAAAGAGTATACACATGTTAGTAACTTTTATGGCAAAGTTTCAAATTACTTTCCAGAATGGCAAGTCCAGTGATTCCTAAATTATGTATCTTCAACTTGTTTTCTACATTCACTGTTTTTACAATATAGATACCTTACATCAGCCCATAATCATTAAAAAAAAAAAATTTCAATTTTTTGGCTTTCTTCTGTTCCTAATTATTTTATATAGGATTGTTGAGTTCTGTTTGATCCGATCTGTTATGTGAGGTGTTCTACCACCATTCTAAACTACTTAATCTCCTTCTAATTTTTCCCTCAAAAGCTCAGTTCCAATTGTATTTTTTTTTGTCTTGCATCATTTCTTCCAGCCACTCTTATAGGGTTTGTGGCTAAGCAGGTTTTTTTTTCCTCTAAAGCTCTTGCTTATACTTATTGAGGAGTTTACTCTCAGTTTAAATTTACTCTTTGGCTTCTCTTAACCCATAATATTTCTTCATTTTGTTCAGCATTTATTTCTGTTTTCTCATATTTCCAATCCTAGTCTCTTGATTGAAATTTGGGGCATGACCAATCTCAAGGATGCATTGGTAGGCCCCATTTGGTATACTGTCTATCACTCTGTAGTCTGGATGCTATTGCTGTTCTGGATGGATTGGGTGATGATAGGCTCCTTTGCCATAGTCCTAAGCTTCTTTCTCAGTTTCTGCAGGATGCTGAGTGGTCAGTGTAAGTGTTGGCCCCACCCCTGCTTCACCTTCCTTGCTTCCACCCTCTGCTGTGACTCTGACAGGCACAAGTTGAATGTTAGCAATTGAGGAGATAACCTCTTCTTGCAAGGCCTCCATCTCCAGCCTGAGCCCAGGTCCTGAGTTGGTCCTGTATACTGTGGCTTTCAGCTCTCAAATGAATACATGGCCAGGCCCTGTTTTGTTACATAGTGACCTATGAGTGCTGGTTCTGTCCTTTTTTTCTGCTCTAACAGACCAGAGCCAAGATTCCATTGGCTTTAGACCCACTTACCAGAACTAGTGCTGTCTTTTTTCCCCCTGACCCCCACCCAAAGCCTCCCTCTTTAGAGGACCCACAGGCTTTTTGTCTCCATTTGCCTGGGCTCAACCTAGCTTCTCAAGCACCACCCTCCCCTCACATCTGCAGTCTTCAAGCTGCCTTTTTATGCATTTCTCAACTAGGTGAAGAGGCTTACTTGTATTTCGCTTCAATTCTCTTGATCATTGCTTTTTTTTAGATAGTTGTGGTATATGTGGGAACGCTGAGCCCATCTATCACATTTCTCCATCTTCACTGGAAAACCCCTCAACTCTCTTTTCCCCACTAATAGAGGAATTGCCAAATGGTGATATTTCAGATTTGAGTCATTCTTCCCTACTAAAATAAATTCCCTATTAAGACAAATAAAACCAGGCAACAGAAGTTTAAAACAGAAAGGACAAAAGGAAAACAAAAAATGATTGAGCTTTGTATACTGTTAATAGAAAGAGAGGTCAAGAAGGCAAATTTTTAAGCAAAATACTATGAATATTACCAACTAGAAAACAAAATAAGCCAAGTCTGGATATCATAGGATCACATATTTAGAATTGGGAGGGACTATGGAGGCTTCTACTCCAGTCTTCCCAATTTATAGTTAAAAAAAAAAACTGAGATCCATAGAGGTTAAGTAACTTGCCAGACATCTTAGAGGAAGGACTTGAACCCAAGTCCTCTGACTCTAGAGCAGGGGTGGGGAGCCTGTGGTCTCAAGACCACATGTGGCCTTCTAGGTCCTTGGGTGTGGCCTTTTGACTGAGTCTTAAGTTTTACAGAACAAATGCTTTTATTAAGGATTTGGATTTGCACTAGAGTCAATGCACTTTTCCCTTTATCTTTCATTCTTCCCAGATGATTAATAGTTGCTATTTTCTTATTGTCAACTGTCTTAAAATGCTATTGTGTTTTTCCATGTGATTGCAAATTCAAAATTGATATGTGAATTTTATCAACTGGCATCTTTATAGCAGATTCCAGTAGTTAAGTGTTTAGAGGCTAGCACAGTGTCTGCAACATAGTATTAGATCAATAAATTCTCTCTGCTTAGCTTATCCACATATTATCCAGGGCTTTAAAAAAACAGGAGGAAGAAAAGTACATATGAACAAAACTTAACAGAATATACAGTGGGACATATTTAGATAATTCTGGTCTGGAATCTAATCCGTTAACACCTCGTTTTCCTTTATTTATGTCTTGCCTCTTTATTTTAGCTCAACAATTTGTATAGTAAAAATTTCCTTTGGTTCTAAAATGTCTTCTGTGATTATCTGGGGACAGGCAAAAATGATGATGCTCTCAAACACCAGAAAAGCCAAGGGAAAACTAGAGGGGAATTTGTTGTGGGAATCCGTTAGCACTGGCTAGAAAGGGTGTGAAACCTTTCTTGGCTAAGGTAAGAAGTAGATTTTAGAGTCATCATCATAAAGAGATTTTATTAATCCACCATAAGCATTTATTAAGTGCCTTCTCTTAAGGCATATATAGTTCTGTATTGTAGACACTAGAAACACAAGGACAAAAACAAGAGTCCCTGCTCTCAAAATCTGAAGGTACCTTTAGAGGAGAAGATACTAATAGGAGGAAGAATCAAGAAAGGCCTCATATCAGAGATGACATTTGAACTGAGTTTTGAAGGAAGATAGGGATTGTAAGAATCAGAGCTAAAGAAGGAGAGCAGTTCAGACATAGATGTGGAGATGTGCAAAAATGCCATGTTGTATACAGAAAACAGCAAGTCTAGTTTGCTGGCAATGTAGGGTGAAGTATAGTACTAGAGTAATAAGCCACAAAAGGTGGGATTGAGCCATATTATTTAAAGGCTTTAAGTCCCAGAGACATTTTTTATTTTCTCCTAAACGCAATAGGAAACTACTGGAACTTTTTTTGAGTACTGGATTGGCATGGTTAGACCTTTGCTCTAGGAACACCACTTTGGTAGCTGTGTTAGAGTTGGATTATAGAGGGAGGGATTGGAGACAGGCAGCCAGTTGTCCAGAGAGGTGATAAAGGACTTGAACCAGTGTGGTGGTCCTGTGAGTAGAGAGAAAGGGATAGATGCAAGAGATTTTATGGAGATAGAATCAACAAGACTTGGCAAATGATTGAATATGTGATGGAGAGGGAAGAGTCAAAGAGAATGTGAAGGTTGAGAACCTGGGAGATGGGAAGAACGATGGTATCCCCTGGAAGAAATAGGGAAGTTGGGGAGAGGGAGGAATAAATTTTGGAGGCAAGCGTCCCTTTTGGACATGGTGAGTGTGAGATAACTACCAGATTTCTGATTGGAAATGCCCAGTAGGCATTTGGTGATGAAGAACTAGAGCTCAGGAGAGGCTAAAGTGAGATTCATAGATTTAAGAGTCCTCTACATAGACATGATTATTGAACCGGTGGGGAGCTGATGAAGTCACATAGAGAAGAGAAGAGGGCCCAGGACAGAGCCTCAGGCTACACCCACAGTTAGAGGATGAGACACAGATGATGATCCAACAAAAGAAGACAGAGGAGTAGCCAGACGCGTAGAAGGGAAAAGCCAGAAAAAGCAGAGTCAGGAAACCAAAGCAGGAGACGATATATCAGGAGGAGAGTGCTCAACAGTGTCAGATGCTGCAGAAAGGGTGAGGACTGAAAAAAGGTCATTGAATTTGTCAGTGAAGGGCTCATTGATAACTGTTGAGAGAGCAGTTTTAGTCGAATAGTGGTTAGAATGCAGTTTGTAAAGGTTCAGAAAAGAGGAAGTGGAGATGATTGAAGTTGAAATACAGAGAGTGAATGAATTCCCAGAGGGGAACAAGTAGCAAAAAAAGAAAAAGGACTGAAAATTATATTTTTGCAATAAGATTAGTTTTTTGCTAAACATAGTTATTACCCACAAAAGTAAGTTATATGCACCAGGATGTAGAAATAGCTTTATGACATAAAATGTTTCATTGTCATGCAATTTTATTTGTTACTAATTTTTCATTGGAAAAAAATGAAATAATTCTGTAGCACCGAAATGCATTTTTTTGCATTTTATTTTTTCCCAATTACATGTAAAAACAATTTTCAGCATTTTCCTTCAAAAATTTGAGTTCCAAATTCCCTCCCACCCCACCCCCCATTGAGAAGGCGGGCTATTTGATACAGATTATACATGTGCAGTCTTGCAAAACATATTCCACATTAGTCATGTTGTAAAAGAAAAATAGACACCCCCCCAAAAAAAGTTTAAAAAGTATGCTTCGATCTGTATTCATACTGCATCAGTTCTTTCTCTGGGAATGGATAGCATTTTTCTGAAATACATTCTTTATTTGCATAAGAGACCTGCAAATCTTCATTGACATAAATATTGCATCAGAGACAGTGTAGACTCTATGTGTCATCTTTAGCAAAATATTAACTGCATTACCTTTGTTTATTAAGCATCAATTAAACAAGCTATTAAATTAATTATTTTTTATATTTATAGCAGTCAAGGACCATAGTGTTTAATTTGTGGTAGCCTGGTAAACCCATACTGTCTTTTTTTGTAAATATATTGAACATTTTCTAATCCCTCTCCCTCCATTCTCATCTTGAAGCAATAAAATAGAAAGAGCTATTACCCTTAAGTTTGGAAACAAAAAGAGAAGGCAGTCAAATACACCTTCTGTGATAGCATTTTCTATTGTTTTAAGATTCATAAATAATAGTTTTGAGTAGATTAAGGTAGTAATAACACCTAGTCCAACTAAGTCATGTATTTAGTAATTAGGCAGCAGGATGTTTCACCGTAGGATGCACACCTTTATGGGTCTAGTTCCCATATATGTGCCTAATTTCTTAGCCGGCTTTTTTTGTTTTAAGTTTATGTACTGTATATAGTGTGTTAAGTATATACATATACCTTGATTTTCCCCATGCACCCTTAACCTCAGAGTTTTCATTTTGTAAAACTAGAACAAAAACAATGGCAACACCAACAGTAACAATAGCTTAACTTTATGTAGTGCCTGCTATATACCAGGCACTCTGCTAAATGCTTTATAATATTTATAAATATTATTTCATTTGATCCTCTCGACAACCCTGCAAGTAGGTACTATTGTTGTCTTCATTTTACAGTTGAGGAAACTAAAGTAAACAGAGGTTAAATGATTTGCCATATTTGAACTCCAGTCTTTTCCAGACTCCAAGACCAGTGCTCTATCCACTTGGGCCACCTAGTGGCCTGAATATTTGATATAGCCATAACTTTAGTGGGGGGAATGGAGTGATAGGAAACATTCTGCTTTCATTTTTCATTGTTGAGGTTTTTTGTTTTACTTTTAGGCAGTAGTTACAGCAGAAAAATAGAATTTTAGAATTCTAAAATATGTTTTTAAATGACTATGATAGCTTATAGAAGTAAAATTTCAATATAGTATGTGCATGTTTCTTACAGGAATCTATGCAAGATGTTGGCTTTATGGACTTGGATAGTGCAAGCTTTGTTTATTTTCCTCATCGTTGATTCAGTAGGAGGTAAGAATCATAGTATAAAAACAGTATGCAATTAATTATTATGGTTGTTCTTCAGAGTGTTATGACTATAGTGATGCCACTTGAATATAACTTTATTTACAAAATTAAGTACATGCTATATGCAAAGCACTCCACTCGGTACTGGGTTTACATTGACAAATGAAATAGTCTCTGCCCACAAGAAGTTGACACTACCAGGAGTGCTACAATAAATAATAAGAAGTAAATTTAAAATAAAATTTCAGGAGGGGAGAGGACCCTATCAGTTAGAGGAACCAGGAAACACTTCACATAGTAGGTAGTACTTGAACTTAGCCAAGTTCAGGCATTATTAATAAAAATAGTTATTGATGGCCATTATTAGTAGACAATTACCACTAAAAAGGCAATTCTTTAACAGTCTATTACATATTTTAATACATCTGCTTGGTGGGTTCACATCAGAAAAACTAATCATTGTCCAAATGCATTACTGGGCAGTTATCTGAAATTTAATAATCATTTTATTGAGTATCAGTAGAAGAGATCTTATCTTATTCTTATATCTCTTGTAGGAGGAGCTAAAAGTGTTGCTGAACACAGGAAAGAATGCTTTTCTCTCAGGGAGTCATATTGGCACTGCAGAACAGGGATCAACTGTCTCCATAGACTTAAAAGCAATCAGTAGTTTGTGGTGATCCTAAATAGGGAAGAAGAAGGAAAGATGAAAAAAATAGGGGGAAAAAAGGAAGGAGTGGAGAGGAGCAAAAGAAAGGAAGAAGTTAGAAAATAAAAACATACACAGCTTTATCTATGGTTTAGGATCTTCTGATTGGTACCATTGTGATAGTAGTATGCCTTCCCTAGAAACACCTGTAGTTAATATATCCAAGATGTGGGGGATTGACCAAGACAAAGGGTTGGTAGAAGGGTTCATAGCTATATGAGGTCTCAGATGTTCTAGCTTAATAAGGATGGGGAAGAGATACTGGGGGGGGGGGAAGTTAATTTAAAAATGGACTTAAAAGGAAGAAGAGTCCTTCTTATTCAAACCAAGATGTTCCACATAAATGAATTTTCAGATAACTGAAGCCTACTCCTTTAAATTCCAAATTTTTTTTAAAATTGTAATAATTTCAGTGGATATGTTTATAAAATGTATTTACTACCCTCCCTTCATAAATTATAGTTTAAAATTTTTTGATGACTTAAGGTTATCATAAACAACAGTTGCACTGTTTACAGTGATTTCCTGAATAGCTACTGTTCTCATACTAGATGGCCCCATACTTTTGTGTTTTTGAAGTTCTCTCTTTTTTATGGTTCTATCATCTCCTGATATCAGCTGTCATTTTAATGTGTTCTGCTTCTAATGTGCTACATTTTTTGAAAAAACATTTTAGCTCTAAAATTCTAAATCTGTGGCTTATATTTGCTTCTGGAACCATTCATCATGAGAGAGCCCTGCAGTCCCTATTAGTGTGAATCTCTAGAGCAGTAATAATGATAACAGCATGCAGTTCTGTGCTAATAATAAGAGTTGCAAATTTATACTCTGGGCTTTAAAAAGTGAACCTTCAAGGAGACAGTTGCAAGGGTAATTGAAAAAGAAAAGCTTCTAGTAGTTATACATCTGCTGGTATATAGCTGCCTAAGCAGGAGGAAAAACAGTGGAGGAGTCTCAGGAGAAAGGGTCTCAGGTCTCTGGGGTTATGTTCACAATTAACAAAGAGCCAAGACAAGTGACAAGAGTTTGAATATGTCATGGATACAGTAGGCCTTACTGTGTTAGGTATCTTAAGAAAGTGGGGGACAAGATTGTGACTATAATCAAACTAAAGATGAACTTCAGTGACACTGAAAAAGACATTTTCCCTAGACTCGGCACATGGGTGGTACATAAAGAAAAGGATTTCAAGCTTCCCAAAAGCAGGCAATCCATATATACTCAGGAGAATGAGGCCTAGAGGAGCCTAGGGGCACTCATCTTCCATAGAACTGGATGAAACAAATAACAACAACAATAATAATAGTTAACATTTATATAGCACCTACTGTGTGGTGGGCATTATGCTAAAAATCAGGACAGGGTGCTGAGGACAATAAAACAAAGAGTAATCATAGTAGGATTATCTTGGATATAATGACCAAAGCAAGTTATCCTGTTACTAGTCATCATTATCGAGTCCGTCTAATTTCAAATAAATAGATAGGTCTTCCAAAAACTTAAAAATATATGATTATTTTCTACAAAACATGTTTGATCATAATATATTTTGTTTTGTTTCCTTTTAAGGTGGACTTTTAAAACCATGTGGTCACATCGTCCCAGAATCTCCAGTTGTAGCACCTAATACTACTTTCACAGCGATTTGTGTTTTAGATGAAGAGTGTTTGAGTGAACACCATTTAAATGCTAATCAAATTTTGTGGAAAATAAAAGACACCTATGTTCCTAAAGAACAATACACTATCCTAAATAAAACAGCTGCCAGTGTTACTTTGGAAGATGTATCTTCATTAGGTAGTCCACTAACATGCAACATTTTACTATATGGACAGCTTGAACAGAATATTTATGGAATCCAAATCAGAGTGGGCTGTAAGTATACCTGTATCTTTTAAGATTTAACTTTAATTTTATTGATGCTTAATTTTTTCTCCTTTTTTGGTTAATACTAACCATTAAAGTCCTCTTCTTCCTCATGATATGGAGTTGACTAGTTTTTCAAAGCTATGCTGGTAGAATACAGGCCCTAGTAGATTCCTCCAGGCAGAAGCAGGTGCAGGCCTAGTATCAGACTGTACATCTGGATTATGAGAACCAGGGTCGAAGTCTGTCTTCAAGGGTGGACGTGCAGCCTGTAGATGGGCCCGTATCAAAAGCCTTTCTAGCTTGCTAATACCTTCCAGTATCTGCCTTCTACTGTCATAAACTTTGAGAATCCATGGTCACCTTTTGAAGTATGGAACTTTAAAGATCACATAGTCTTCTTATTTTGTAGCGGAGACATAGGGACTTAAGGGGAAAGTGGCTTAAGGATCCATAAGTGGCAAGGTCACAGTGATTTGTTGGAGCCAGTTGTTGCATTTTCAGTGTGAGCATTTACCCCTCAGAAACTTGCAAACTCTACAAATCAGGGCTTGAGTTACTGTTTTCATGATTGTCTAAGCTTTAAAAGGTTATAGAGAAATGTTAGTATAGATTAATCTTAAATAGGTCATGTAGACATTTTTCCCCCCAGGAAGACAGGTGCTAATATTTACCACCACAGCTCTGCAGGATTAGTACTACATTGCCTGCTCTGATTCACAGGCCAACCATGTATCTGTCAAGACAGATCATTCCAGATGAGCATTCTAGTTTCTTTCTTGCTTTTACATCTTCACACTAATTTGGTTTCATGTTTTACTTTCACACTTTCTTAAAAAACTCCAATTACAATGCTGTTTCTAGACCAGCAAATCACACAGCATCCTTTACTGTCTTCCTCTTAATTACTTTGTAAGTACTTGTAAAATATTGGCCAAACCCTCATGCTACTATGATCCCAGGTAGATTTACTTTTTAATACTTTTTAATAGGGTATCAAGGAGGATAGCAATATCACAAGTGAAGGGAGACAGCCTCAAGATAGATAGAAAGTTAAAGGACCTTAGTTCAAATCCCAACTCTTCTAGTTAACTACCTATCTCAGTAACATCAGGCAAGTTACTTATCCTCTCTGGGGCTCAGTGTCCTTAAAAGATAAAATGACATAATTAGATGATTTCTAAAGCCCCTTGTGTATGATCCTATGATTTTCAAAGACTTCATGATCCAGAAGACTTAAGTCTCTGGATTTTATGCTTTCTCATCAGGCCAAAGAAGGAGCCGTTTTTTGGACAGAAGCCTTTTAAAGTGTCTCTCAGTTGCCTCTGTGCTCTGCCCACTATTAAGACTAACCCTACTTATATTAGCCTTGGAATAAAGATAGAAAGAAAAATTAAAAGGCATGGAGGAAAATCTTAAATCACCAAAGACACAGGGGAAATGAAAAGGCATCAGCAACAGCTTCACTCTGAATCTGGTAGCCCCAAAACACCATGTATTAAGGTGGTCAGATTATGAGAAGCTAAGTCTAAATGTTAGGCTTCCCACATAAAATATCCTTGCTGCTGAAACTTTGGTAGGAGAATTCTAATCCATATGAATTGCTATAAAATGTATTTTTGAAAATCAGAAAAGATAATTTCCCTAAGTGTTTGAAGAAGTATTTCAAGTCCATTCAACTAAACATAACCAAGCTCACCTTCCCTGAGCTTAATGATCAGGCTTGTGGGTTACTGAAGCCTTTCAACATTTTTCCATCTGCAGCTATTTCTTCTTCCTCTTGTTGTTTTGCCTTTAACTATTTTACTGTTTGGGTTTTTTTCCTCCACTAAATATTAACAATTTATTTTAACTTAAAAAAATAGGGGAGAGGACTGATACTGATATATAAAATACAAGGAGATTAATAGTTGATTTCATTTATCCATATCATTCTTGCCCATGTTATTCCTGCTCTTCAGCCTTTAATTAGAAATGAAAGTTATTATGTTGAAATACATTAAGAAATAAACTATAGTCAGTTAAGATTTAGGAATATGGTTATAATACAGATATTTGCCCAAAGGAAATATGGCTCACTAGCTGGGAAAGTCTGAGCCTTTAAATTTAAAACAATTAGCTTTAAAATAATTGATCCTTTCTTTGCTGGTACCTTTTGCTACAACCTTTCTTTGTATATATCTTTTCCTAACTTAGGCTTTAAGTGAAAATGACAGTATGTAGTTCAGTGTTCAATGAAGCATTTGCCTTAATAAATGCTATTTTTTAATGTAGGGGCTCCAGAGAAACCAAAAAATTTGAGTTGCATCGTGAATGGTCAAAGTAACATGAAGTGTCAGTGGGACCCTGGAAAGGAAACACATTTGGATACAACATATGTTTTAAAGTCAGAATGGTAAGTTGCTTTGGATATTAGCTTCAGAATGGTAAGTTGCTTTGGATGTTAGCTTTGTAAAATAATCCTAGCTAGATAGGAAGTTGTTTTTTTTTTCTTGTTAGGGAGCAATAATGTCAAAATAAAAATTTGAATAGACTTTTTTTCTTGAATTTTTAACTTTTCTGTAAGTTTTTATGCTTGAGAATAACTTTTGCTTTTGACTTTTTTTTTTCTTGTTGTTGTTCCATTTTAGGAAGAAAAGGTGAAAGGACGTGTTTTCAGATCCTGTATTCAAATGGAGTCTGTTTTCTAATATATTTGGAAAATGCAGTTAGTTAAAAGCTCAACTCATATTATTTTTACTCATTTAATTTCTTCCTAATTTTTCCAATAAGGCATTTTAAATAGGTTTCATAAGATGGATTATAGATTTAGAGATGGAAGCTATCAACCCAGAGGTTTTTGAAAGGGCAGAATTATAAAAAATGTAGATCCTACTTGAGATTCACATCCTTATTGCTAAAGAGCCAGCAACACTTTTCAGTGGTAAAGTTATTGAACTCTAGATCTCTTCAGATCTCTTCTTGAGTAATTGTTTCAGTTAAACAAAAGATGCAAAATTAAGTTTTTTTCTTTGTAGAAAAGAGAGGGAGGAGTGCATGTTTTTAAAAACAATTGAAAAAAATCATGCAATTTTATCATTGGAGAGGATCTTAGCAATTGTCATTTCAACTTCCTCTTTTTATAGATAGAAAACAGACCCAGACAGTTTAAATGACATTTCCAAGACCATATTCAGGAGTTCTTAACCTTTTTTGTGTGATTTGGCAGTCTAGTGAAACCTATATCTCTTCTCAGAATAATGTTTTTAAATGCATAAGACACCACATATAGAATTACAAAAGAAACCAAATTGAAAATATATTGAAATAGTTATCAAAAAAAATTTTTTTTAATTCACAGACCCCAGGTTAAAAACCTCTGATTATAGATGGATAGTGGCAGTGGCATTTATAGTTACAATTTCATATGAATCCACATTTCTGATTTGGGGTATTAATACCTGTGAAGGTATATTGGAGAACCTCAGAGCTCAGGGGAGGTAGGTAGGAGAGAGATAGAAATAAAGTAAGAGGTAACTTGGAATGCAGAAAGGAAAGAATGCTGATTCTTTTCCCCTCTCCCCTCCATCCATCCCAGCCAGTAGAAGGATTTAAGGATTTTCATTTAGCCTTTTGTCCCACTTATCCAGGACAAAACATGTTTAGAAAATGATCAAAATGAACTCAACGATCCTTTCTACTCCTAATATGTTTTGGTTTTGCTTAGAAGAGTCTTATTTAGTATGATCTGTGTTTCAAAACAGGAAATAGGGGAAAAAATAGTATGTGTGTAGGAAGACCCTCTTTAATTTTTAAAAAAATGAAGGGATTAGCATAGTGAGAAAGTATGAATATATAGTAAGATTTACAAGAGTAAAACTGTTTAGAAAATGAAAATAATATCTATTTTCCCATTTCCAAATGCAAAGAATGCAAGTTAATTTTGGAGAGGCTTTCTGAATAACTTTTTATTAGCTGTGATTTTTAGTGACTAGTTTATTATAATTGTTTTAGTTTTCAGGTGTATTTTTGTATTTAAATGCTTGTATCTTAAAAACCTGCTTTTAATTAATGTCTCTGTATTTTATGTGTAGGCCAACACGGCAGCTGACAGATTGCATTCCACCACCTAATGTAAATAACTCGTGCACAGTTGATATGGTTGTGGTTTACGTCAATATGGATGTCTGGGTAGTAGCTACAAATGTTCTTGGAAATGTTTCATCTGATCGTATCAATTTTGATCCCATCGATATTGGTAATTATAAATTTAATATTAGGAAACAACTTCCTGATTTTAATTTCCTGTGGAAAAATCATAATTTATCAAGTAAACCAATTGATGTATGACTTTGGAGGCCTTTCTTACTGGACATTTGCAGCTAGTTAGAAGCAGCTAAGTGGTGCAGTAAATAAAGCATTGGACCAGATGTCAGGAAGAACCCACGTTCAAAATCTGACCTTAGACATTTACCACTTATGACCTTGGGCAGGTCACTTAACTTCTGCTTCCTCAATTTCCTCATCTATAAAGTGAGGATAATAATAGTATCTACCTCTCAGAGTAGTTGTGAGGATAAAATGAGCTGATATTCATAAAGTGCTTTGCAAATCTTTAAAAACCTTATATAAATGCTATTATCATCATCATTATTATTATTATTATTATTATTAACATGGAAAGAATAAATGGATGAAATGGAAGAAAGTAAGCTCTACAAAAGTACAGTCGATTTAAGTTATAAAAGTGAAAAATAGTGATTACTGGATTTTATTTTGTTCTTTAGTGCAACTCCTTCCTCCATATAATGTAACAGTCAGCAGTTCTAAGGCAATATCAAGTATCTTAAAAGTGTCATGGACCAACCCTGTTGATAAACCTTTTGAAGGATTGAAATATAATATTCGGTACCGTACCAAGGATGCTTCAGATTGGACACTGGTAAGTAACTTGAAAGTTATTTGTTAAAATATTCTCCCCTGAAGACCCATGACCCCAAGAATTCATAATCATTCTAAAAAATACATTGTTTCAGGTGGCACAGACTGTGCTAAAGACTAAAAACAACACCCCTTATTTTCCCCTAGGATCTTAAATTTAGGAGAAAGCACATGACAAGGAGCAAACAAAGCATAGAACATCTTTGAAGGAGAAGTAATGTGAGGAGAGGGGCCTTTGGAATAGAAGAGAAGCCAGAACAATAGAGGAACAAAGGCAAACAGTACATCCAAGTGTAGTGGAGGAAATTGATAAAGAACTATGAGGGAAAAAAAGAGTCTTAGGTAGGACATAGTTTACCTTTTGTGGCCAGTTATAATGTGACAGGCCAGCCATCAGCCACCTAAGAGCTTCTGGGTTATTTTTATCCTAGTGGCAGCAAATGTCACGGGGCTATCTCCCTCCCACCACAGTTGGAAGACAGCATGGATTTGTGAGATTACTGCCTTGATTAGCAGACTGTATGGTTTGATTATGAAATAGAATTTTTTGAGGATTTGGAGTTTGTTTTTCACTCCATATATAATGAATTGATCCAAGAAGGACTCAAACCCATGATTTTGTCCTTATGTGTGCAGTTGCATTCCATCTCCCTGATTAGAATGTGTAAAAGTTGTAACATTTTATTAGATTAATGCTTCATAATATTCAAAGAATATTGACTTGATGATTAAGAGGTTATGTGATGCAGTGGTCGGAGTACTAGGCTTCAAGCACCTGGGTTCACTTCTTGGCTCCACGATTTGCTACCTTGGACAAGTCACTTAATCTGAGCCTTAGTTTCCTCATCTGTGAAATAATAGGCCTAGATGAGATGACCTCAAAGTTTCCTGCTAGCTGTAACTTTACAATCCTCTGGTATTTTTTTGAAATTTCATAGAAAATTTAATTAGGCAACTAAAAAGGTTCTTATATCTTGTGTCCAAATATCTGCAGATAATAGAAATGAATAAAGAACGACAAAATCTATATCATAGCCTTTATAGGTGTACTCTGAAGCTTTACTACTGGAGTGGTTTATTTTTTTTTAATTGGACAGCAAAAAAAAAAAAAAGAATGAGAGTTTAAAATCATTAGATTTTCTTTAAAATGCAGAAGGTACTCTGATTTTTACTAAGAAGAAGCCCTGAGCTTTTGCCCTGGCTTTAATATCTAGTTGGTGGGTTACCTTGAGCAAACTCTTAACCTCAGCTGTGTCATCTTTGAAAAAGAAAGACTAATACTTACACTTACTTTGTAGTGTTGTATTTTGTAACCTTAACGTTCTTTATTATTAATTTTCCATAATTTTTGAGATGACTCATTTTGTATTTATCTTATTGCAATACTCTGATTTGTGTAATATTACATAATTTTAAAACCCTTTATTAAAATAGCTGTTTCTTTTTAGATTCCTCCTGAAGACACAGCTTCAACCCGAGATTCATTTACTGTTCAGTATCTTAAACCTTTTACAGAATATGTGTTTTCAATTCGTTGTATGAACAGAGAGGGTAGGGGATTCTGGAGTAATTGGAGTGCAGAATCAAGTGGAGTCACATATGAAGCTAGTAAGTAAAAGTCTTTCACACAGACTTAGCTGCTTGAATTCTTTGTGTAAATTATCAGCTTCATTTTTAAAATCAAATGAATTTAGGATGCTTCATAAAAATCCCCATTTGTAAATTATCTCACAAAAAAAAACAGAAAAGAAAAGTCTCTCACAGTGGAGGGGAAACAGGGGGAGGTAAGAGGGAATGAGGGAATCTTATTCTCATAGGATTTGGCTTAAGGAGAGAATAACATACACATTCAACTGGGTATGGAAATCTGTCTTACCCTACAGGAAAATAGGAGGAGAAGGGGACAAGAGAGCAGGGGGATGATAGAGAGGAGGGCAGATTGGGAAAGAGGGTAATCAGAAGCAAATACTTCTGAGGAGGGACAGGGTCAAAAGAAAGAATAGAATAAATGGGAGGGCAGGATAGGATTAAGGGAAATAGAGTTAGTTTTTCACAACATGTCTAACTATGGAAGTGTTTTGCGTAACTGCGCATGTACAACCTATATTGCGTTGCTTGCCTTTTCAATGAGGGTGGGTGGGGAGGGAGGAAGGGAGAAAATTTGGAACTCAAAGTTTTAAAAACACATGTTTTTAAAAAAATGTTTTCACATGCTACTGGGAAATAAGAAATACAGGAAATGGGGTACAGAAGTCTATCCTGCTCTATAGGAAAATAGAAGGGGAAGGGGATAAGAGAAGGGAGGGGGGAGAGATAGAAGAGAAGGCAGACCAGGGGAAGGGGTATTCAGAATGTATGCCATCTTGGGGTGGGGGGAGGGGTGAGAAATTTGGAACTCAAAAACTTGTGGAAGTGAATGTTGAAAACTAAAAATAAATAAATTGATACTTTTTTTAAAAAATTAAAAAAATAAAATAAAAATCCCCCTTTGGACTTCTGGTTCTGTGACCAGGAAGAAAATCAGCTTAGTCACTTTCCACAGACCCTCCCAAAAAAGATATTGTACACCAGATGTAGAGCAATTGCAGCTGAATCTATAGGACAAAGAAAAGAAAACCATAGCACGGTAAAATCCTTATGAATTAATACCTGAGAACTCAAATCCTTAAAACCATCATTCAGCACACCTCCACACTCCCAAAGAAGAAATGCTAGCTGACTTGTAAGACTGTGCCTGGTACTCATCATAAGACCCTCTAGGGTAGAGATTCTGCTGACTCAGCCAGCCTCAGGCCTGCTTCTCAATCCTGCTGCACGAGGTAGACTCTGAGGGCTTACCAGAGGTGGGGGAGAATGTAGACTGAAAAAGTACTGCCCAGCCCTATGTTAGGAGTCCTAAAGCTGCAGAAACTCACTGGGAGCATAGTTCCAGTCCTCTCCTTGCCTGCTTTTCCCCCTCCCCCCACATAGAAAGCAACAAATGCTGATTCAGCCCAGCTCTGAGAAGAAAAGGAAGAGAACCTGATAGACAGGTGGGAAGAAAATCAGCAGAGGATGGTATCACAAAAACCTAGAGGGGAGAGAAGAGGGAAGAGAAGGAGATCAACAGTGTCAGGTGCTACAGAAGAGTCAAGAAGGATTAGGATTGAGAAACAGCCATAAGATTTCCCACTAAGAGATAATGGTATAACTTTGGATAGAGGGAAAGTTTCAGTTGAATGCTGACATTGGAAGCCAGATTGCAAGTGGGCTTAGAAAAGAGGGAGAAGGAAGAAAGTAAAAACACCCAATGTTGCAGCTTTTTTCAGGGAATTTAGGAGAGAAGAAAAGGAGAGCTCTCACACACAGTAGCTGGTAGGGATGGTAGGACCAAGTGAGGGTTTCTTCTTCCTCTTGCTATTTTGCGTTTAACTAATCATTTTACTGTTTGTTCCTCCACTGGAGATACAGGTCAACATTGTCACTGAACTGCTCAAATTAATGATTGATTTTAACTTTAAAAAATAGGGTAACACCTAAAATACAAGCAGATTAACAATTGATTTCATCTGTATCATTCTTGCCCACTTATTCCTGCTCTTCAGCCCTTAACTAGATATGAACTTTATGTTAAAATAACTAATGGAGACAGTTAATGACTTCAGTAATGTAGCAAGTTACAAAATAAAGCTACCGAAACAATAGCATTTCTGTAGAGTGATAACAGAATTCAGGAGGAAGTAATAGAAAAGAAGCCTCATTCAAAATAACTATCAAATATGTAAAATATCTGGGAGTCAGTCTACTGTAGATTGTACAGGTACATTGGGTACCTGTATAATAAACACAGTTACAAAATGCTTCTTAAAGAATGGACAACTTAACTTGAAGAATTTGTTTCTAGCCCCACATTTTTACCTAGGATTCCAGATCTCTGTTCATCTAAAAGATTGAGGTATCTGTCTGTGGAATGCTCAGTAAAGGATATTGGGATTGGAAAGTGCTAGATTATATGGGATTGAAATAGGCACAACCATAGAGGTAGAACAAAGCAAAAAGGGTTCTAAATTAGTATTCTTTTGTCCTTTCCTTTAAAGAGATTTTCCCTTCTTTTTTTAGAACCATCAAATGCACCAAGTTTCTGGTATTCGATTGATCCTTCTCAAGGTCATGGATATAGACTTCTACACCTAAAATGGAAGGTAAAACATCGTCTTTAGATTATTTTGTTTATATTGGACATTTTTTGTCCTTTTTAGCCGAATTCTTTTGTTTGACTGTGATTCACTCCCAAATGTCTGAGATAGTATTTGAACCCAAGTTCAGCATTCTGTCTGCTCCGCCCTGCTGCCTCTCTAACAACCCTGACAAGTGATCATCCAGCTTCTTCTTCAAGACCTCCAGCAGTGGGAACATCTACCCAAACAAACTATTCCATTTTTAGACAGCTCTTTTTGAAGGGAATTTTCCTGACATCCAGCCAAAACCTGCCTCTTCAACTTATATCTACATCTTCTGCCCTCTCAAGCCAGATGAACCAAGTCTAACTCCTCTTTCAGGTGACATCCCTTCAAAGACATGAGGACAGTAAAGGACTTTCTTATGTCTTCTCCTCTAGAGTCAAACACTCCCAGTGTCATTGATTTACAGACAGAGAGAACCTGCCTTCCTGTTGGCCTTGCCAGGGTTAGGGATGCAGGAGGGCTTTCTGTTTCCTTTGAGGGGGGTGATATGTACATATGTTTATTTTGGTATAATGGATAAGAGTTCTAGACTGGAAGTCAGGAAACCTGAGTTCAAATCCTGCCTCAGATACTCATTAGCTGTGTGATGCTGGGCAAGTCACTTTACCTCTCAGCTTCAGTTTTATCATCTGTAAAAATGAGAATAACAATCGCACCTGCTTCACAGGGCTGTGAGGATCAAACGGCAGAAAGTATATAAAGTGCTTTGCAAACCGAAGAGCATCACAGAGCACCGTTATTGTTGTTGTTGTTGTTCTCTTGTAGAACTGTTGTGACCAGTAGTTGAAAAACTCAAATGTTTTAAGTGTACTAATCCACCTGCCACTGTGCCCACCATTCTAGCTTGGGCTCTACTTCTGCTCTTTGTTTGCATCCTAGGCCTTCCTAGTTCTGTTCAACTATCTAACACTGTTCAGTGTGACAAGCAAGGGCTATAATAGGTATCAGAAGACCTGTATTTAAGTTCTACAACTTCTATTTGCTAAGTTTGTGACTGTAGGGAAATTACATGACCGCTCTGAGCCTCAGTTTCCCCATCTGTAAAATGGGGATTATTATGCCGGCTTTATGCACTTTACAAATTAGTCGTTAAGATCAGATGAGCTAATGGTGTGTGATATCCCTCTGTGTTTCCAATTCTGTCTGCTAAGGGAAGATCTTACAGCAAAGCATGCAGAGACTTGACATGATTGTAGAATAAATGAATAGTAGAAATAATTCAAGTGAAGAAAAATGTTACTTCTGTGTGTATTTCATGAAATAAACTGTAAGTACTTTCTTCACAGACTTTGCCTCGATCTGAAGCCAATGGAAGAATCTTACATTATGAAGTAATTCTAAGGGGAGGGAAAACATCAAATTTTTCAAAATCGATTAATGATACAAAATTGATTCTGAATATCACAAATGATCCATATGTCGTAAGTCTGAAAGCTCATAATATAGTTGGAAGCTCTGATCCATCTACCTTAACTATTCCTGGCCGTGACTTCAAAGGTTTGTATCTCTGAAAGAACACTATTGACAAGTGTGTCATTTTTTAAAGATTATTTTACTTTTTTTATATCTCATTGATGATTAAATTAGTTGGCACCCAGTTTATAAAAATTAAGCTTCTCTTTTCAGCTGCCTGATAAAGTATTTTGATAGTTGAAACACATCTCAAAATCAAACTAATACCAAAGCATCCTTTTCCTTTCCTACAATGTATGTTAGATAGCTGGTGGCGCAGTAGGTAGCACACCAGGCCTAGAGTCAGGAAGACCTGAGTTCAAATGTGGCCTCAGACACTTCCTAGTATTGTGACTCTGGACAAGTCATTTAACCCTGTTTTGCTTCAGTTCCTTGTCTATAAAATGAGCTGGAGAAGGAAATGGCAAACCACTCCAGTATCTTTGCCAAGATAACCCCAGATGGTGTCAAGAAGAGTAAAACATGACTGAAATAACAACAACAACAAGATGTATGTTAAAGGATATTTGGGAATCCCTATACATTTTGCTCATGCATTTGTTAACTTCAGTGGTAATGGCACTTAAAATGTTGTGCAACATGGTTCCTCCAAATGTTTGCTGCCTACCACAGTTACTTATGGAGTTGTACTTGTTCATCAAAATAAATTTTACTTCAGGTAGTCCCACTAAATCACTTCATTGTACTCAGAAATTCTTACATATCTAATCCATAGACTAGTCAGGAATTAGTCCTTTTTCTGAGCTTTCAGTAATAACCCCAGAGCCATCTTCATAGTGTCATGGTGAGCTAGCTACTTAATCCTTTTGATGACAACCCTCATGCCCCACCCTGCCTAAGATATTCTATACCTATTTACATAAGTGATCCCTCAGTTTTTTGGCCACATTTAAAAAATATCTATTAGCAAGCAAATGGCCTGTGTCATAACTACTCTAAACAAGGAAGTGGGTCATATAAATCCTTCACTTTTCTGCTTTATACTCTTGTAGCATTTTTATCACTATTCTTTCAGATCCTTAGAGATTTTTATGTTTAAATACTTCAGAGAGATATTAATAATTTTGTACTATTGTAAATAAGGATAATTTTCTGTTAGTACAAATACAATAAAGCAAAACTTCAAGTTTTTGGTCATAACAAGAAGTAAAGTTTTCCTCATGCTTAAAATAGATTTCCATTTTACCAATGGAAACAAATTTTACTTATAGTGATGTAAAAATGAAGATTGCAAAAAGAATGAAAGATTTAATTATGTAAATCTTCTAAAACTCAGATGACTATTATATTCTGTAAAGCAAGCAATTAATGTCTTTTTCAAATATGTGTTTCTTTCTTTAGCTGCTCATCCTATTACAAATCTTAAAGCATTTCCTAAAGATAACGAACTTTGGGTACAATGGACACCTCCAAATGAACCTGTAAATAAATATATACTGGAGTGGTGTGTATTTTCTGACAATTTGCCGTGTACTCCTGATTGGCAGCAAGAAGGCAGTGCCACGAAACTAACCTACTTAAGAGGTAACCAAAGCTAGGAAGAAGTATTATTTTTGTTTAACCTCCTTTTATATGCTGTGGTCAGGTTGTTCTGTTACATGACCTTGTGTGTTTCACAGACAAAGTAGCAGCAGGATGTTCGAGTGTACAGGTTTCTGGGATATATCTTTCGTGAGATGCTAAGGGGAAAAAAATTACTAAATTAACTGACACACGGGAACAAATCTGTAGGTTAGGTAGTGCCTTTCATTACCTTTGTGTTACTGATTGCCACCAAGTGTTCTGTGCTTGCAGGGTTGGATTGATCAATTAGTAGTTGAAGCTTAATATAATGAATTAGATTCATTCAGACACAAGGTGGGGAGGTGGAGAGAAAGGTATGTGTGTCTGTATAAGTGTATGTGGAAAAGGTGGGGGGAATAGCCCACTGTTAGAAAAACTTGGATACTCTTAGTCTAGAAGTTAGGCCAGGATAAGCAGTTGGGAGACTTTGATTTTAGTCTGACTCTCCGACCAACTAACTGTAGACTTCAAGCAAATCACTGTGCCTGAGTATCCCCATTTGTAAAAATCATGGTGCTACCTGCCATTCCTACTTGGAATTAAATAATATTTTAAAGCCAGGAGGAACTTTATGTAATTATCTAATTTTAAGACTCCTTTTTAATGTCAAACAAAAAATCAGACACACCTACATGATAGTAATTATACTATTGATATTTGTTGATTGAGAAAATACATGACAAGTTACTTTATATTCAGCATTTTAAATGAATTTGAATTCTATTCATCCCAACAAATATCTACATATTTTTTAAAAGAGTAATCCACGTATGATCTATTCAGTCTTTAAGAAGATATGCTAGCTGTGTGACCTTGGGCAAATCACTTAAACCCCCGATTGCCTCACAAAAAGAAAGAAAGAAAGAAAGAAAGAAAGAAAGAAAGAAAGAAAGAAAGAAAGAAAGAAAGAAAGAAAGAAAGAAAGAAAGAAAGAAAGCAACCCAGTTTTCGGGGCAGGTAGGTGGCACAGTGGATAGGGTGCCGGCCCTGGAGTCAGGAGGACTTGAGTTCAAATCCAGCCTCAGACACTTGACACTTACTAGCTGTGTGACCTTGGGCAAGTCACTTAACCCCAATTGCCTAAAACAGAAAGAAAAAACAAATAAATAATGGAGGGGAAAAAAGGCATAGACCCTTTGCTCTTCAGCTCACAGATTGGGAAGAACTGATCAAACCAGTCTTTCTTCATTTATAGAAAAGAAAACTGAGGCTCATAGAAGGGAAATGATTTCCTCAGTGTCACATAGCTAATTAACAGCAGAGCCAAGATTAGATGTAAATCTTTCTTAAAACACCCAATAAAATGGAAAGCATTTTGAAAAGATTAAAAGCACTATATAAAAATAAGATAGCATAGAGCTTCAAATGTTATATGCATTTGGTGATTGTTAGTAACTATTTTCAGAATGGCAAAATTTCTAAATGGAAAACAAAAATTATTCAGCTTATATTGACTTTTCTAATTAATTATAACAGTACTTCCAGAACACATCTGTGAGCCCAAAAGAAAGTGAAAAATTGTCTCTTGGTAGAAAAGTGGTTCATGTAGCCTTTTAGATTTGCATTGAAAGCCTTGTGTTTTCCTATTTTAATACAAAAGGGCATAGATTTAGAGCTAGAAAGAGTCCTCAGAGATCATGTTGCCTGACTCCCTCCACATTTACAGATGAGAAAACTAATATTCCAGGCCTAGTTAATCTACAGCAGAGGAGAAGCAACAGTAGATTTATTGTCAAATTAAGAAAATTTATGTTTTATGCTGAAATAGCCATTAAATTGCTGGAAGACAATTTGCTGTTGCTAATTATTTCTTCTGCATAGACCTAAATTGTGTTAAACTTCAGATTTTGGAATTAAATGTTTTTTAGATATTTTTATTTCAAGGTTTTGATGCTTCCAGAAAAATTGCACTGATCTCTCTTTTTCCCCAGGGAACCAGCCATGTGAGAGAACACAGTGGCTCAATCTGTTCCCTGGGGTAATACCAGAGGTTTAGGAATGCCTTCTCTCTGCCACCTTTTCAGGAAACCTCATTTGGTTACGTGCCAAGGTGGCAGGAAACCTTGCCATTTAAGCAGCTGCCTTAGTCACTAATGTGTGAAACTAATTGTCATACTAAGACTCAGCACAGTTTTAGGCCAGCTTTAGAAACTTTTCAGTGTAGTCTGGTAGGTACAAACTTTTAGTTAAAATCTTTTATTATTCAAAAGTAACTCATTAAATTGGTTTGATGGAGTTTTGTATTTCACTGTACTGGCAAGCAGAAGTAAACTTTCAAAGTCAGGCAATTTTGATAGGCTTTCAGTTCTGTGTGAATTATGAAGAAAGTGATAGGAAAATTCTGTTTTAAAAAAGATACTATTGAATGATCACAAAATACATAATTCATAACCCAGTATCAGAATTAATTGAATTCTTTCATTGTGGAAAACAATGTATAATTTATCATTCTTATTTTAGGAAATTTAATGGAGAGCAAATGTTATTTGATAACAGTTATCCCAGTGTACGATGATGGCCCAGGAAGCCCCCGGTCTGTAAAGGCATACCTTAAACAAGCTCGTAAGTTCAAAGTTTCTTTATCTTAATATTTTAAAGAATGATTTTGGAATATTTTGTCACTTATAAATAATGACATTTTCAGCAATTTCTTGTAGCAAAGATATTTGCCAGTTCCTAATGACTTTCTAACTTAAGCAAATGAATATTTTCTGTGACAGCCCCTTCTAGAGGACCTTTTGTTCGAACAAAGAAAGTGGGAAAAAATGAAGCTGTCTTAGTATGGGAGCACCTTCCTGTCGATGACCAGAATGGATTCATCAGAAACTATACCATATTTTACAGAACTAGCAGTGGAAATGAAACAGGTAAAGAAACTAAAAGCATCAACTATTAAGATATAGAATTGTCCAGCCTTTTAAAACATTATTGTAGGTTTCACCCATTTAATTTAGTGTGGAAGCATAGAAGTTGGTCTTCTGATGTGAAATGTGCTTTGTGATCATTTTCATGGCCCTAAGTAAGGAAAGCAAACATTTTTCGGCAATAGAAAGAATAAGATTATGAAAATTATTCACTTGTGATAAAAGTCTTTTGATTTGGTATTGGATTAGGTGAGGAAAATAGTTTTAGTAGCTAAGCATTTTTATTTATTTCTTCCAGCTGTGCATGTGAACTCATCCCACACAGAATATACACTTTCCCCCTTGACTAGTGACACATTGTACATGGTGCGAATGGCAGCATATACAGATGAAGGGGGCAAGGATGGTCCAGAATTCACTTTTACTACTCCAAAGTTTGGTAAGAGATAATTAATTGATCCTTTAAAAAAAAAAAAAACAAGGTAAAAATGGACTTTCTGCTTATTGCTGAAAATATATCTCTGGACACATAGACATTAGATGTTCATAGTTGTTTATGTATTTAATTGTAGGAAAGAATTAAAAGTAATGTTACCGGGTTTTTTTAGCCAGTCAAATCTATCTAGTATATTGGAAGACTTAACTGACTATATCATCCTATACATACCCTGTACTAGTACTTATATACATCCTTTTAAATTTGTTCCTTCTCACAAGCAAAATCATGACCAACGTGTAATTTTTATGTTTAGCCTACACTCAAGTCCTATTGTGATGTCTCATTGTGGAGAATCCTAGGTTCTTGAGGGTTATGCCAGTGGTGCACAAGAACTTGTATATTACCCAGAGAACAACCTAGCTAAGTTTGGAAAGGTACGGGCATCACTAGCATTTTGGCTTCTAGGTGATTTTTATTTCTTCCATAGCAGTTTGTCTGCCTTGGTATGGAAAAATTGTAGACTGTATCAATGGAGAGATCAGGGTTCTGATCATGGAGCCTCTAACAACATATTGAAGTATTATTTATTGCAGTAATATTTTTGGACAAGATTTTTCTAGTTGTGCTTCTCTGGTATAATACACTACAAATAGCAGATATACAAATATTTATTACTTGAATGAGTATATATATAAAATAATTAATACCAGTGATACATAAAATAAACACCTATACAATAAACTTATTTTACATTTTAAAAAACTTTTGATAAGAGAAGATGAATATTCATTATCAGATGGGAAAATCAGTTATTAGAATATCACTTCCCTACTAGTTATCTATGGAAAGGCAGAATGATGAAATGTAATAGAAAGAACATTGAACTAGAAGGTTCTGGTTCCTAGCTCCTGCTGGCTGATAGTGAGCAACTCACTTAAAATCTCTGGAGCCTGTTTCTCTGTCCATAAAATAGGGTATGACAGGTTTAATGGGAGGATCAGATAAGATGTAAGACACTTTATAAACCATAAGTGTTATAGAAATGTGCTGTACTATTACGTGTGGGATAAATAGTATAAGAGAGTTGCATGGATCATTGGTGGTACTTATAACTTTTCCTTGCAACAAAGGCTAAGGAGTATTCAGATGACTCTATTCAGGTGAAGTTAGCTCCCAGCAGAAAACAGTGTTTTTGCTATACCATTCTCTAGTTGTGCCAAAAAAATTTTTTCTGCTTTTAAACCTGATTCACAGAATGTTAGTGTTTGAAGGGATTTCAGCTCATGCCTAAAAAAGAATCCTCTCAACAATATACCCTCTAGCCTTTACTGAAACACTTCAGTGAGAAGAGAATCTCACTGTCAATCCAGTATTTATTGAATGCATACTATGTGCCAGCACTCTATTAGGCACTGGAGTAACAAATAAAATGAAAAAAATAATGTCAACTCATAAGGAGTTTACATTCTACCAAGAGAAACAAGAAGGAAATTACGTATGTGTGTATATATACATACATATGTGTGTCTAAACGAAATAATTTTAAAGAAAATAAATACAAAGTCATTAAATACAAAGTCAATTGAGAGGGACCATTTGAAACAATTAGCCAGTCTCTCAACCAGCATTAAGTGCCTATCCTACAAGACACTGCATTTAAGCACTGGGAATTTAAAGAAGGGCAGAAGACAAGAAATTCAGTAACAGGAAAGACAACTTGCAACCAACTGTGTACAAGCAAAATAAATACAGGATAAACTGGAGATAATCAACAGGAAAGGCATTATCATGAAGGACTGGGAAATGCCCTTTACAGAAGGTGAAATTTTAGCTGTGACTTAAAGGAAGCCATGAGGCAGAAATGAAGAGGGAGAGAATTTCAGGCATGGGGACAGCCAGTGAAAATGCACAGAATTAGACAATAGATGTTTTTGTTAGCGGAATAGCAGGGAGACCAGCGTCACTGGATCACAGAGTTATTGGAGGGGAAGAAAGGGGGGGCCTGGACAATTAGGAAAGACCCAGGTTATAAAGGCCCCTACAGTATAGCCCTTGGCCCCTTCTGCAGTGATGGTGTCAGAGTCAAGAAAAAGCAGGCTGAGAGGGCTAAGGATAAGTTTTTGGACTGTCTATAAACTTCAACTTAGCTATTGCTACTCCAAATGTGAGGTCTTGTCCAGTGGATGAGCAAATTGTGATAAATACTTGCAAAAAGCACGCCATGAAGCTAATAGGCCTGTGCATACCAACAATAGCTGACACTTATGTGTAACTTGAAGGTTTACAAAGTGTTGTAGATACAGTGCCACATTTGATCAAGTCCACTCTATGAGGTGGGCTACAGACATTGTCACTATTTTTTCAGAGGAAATTGAAATCTAGGCAAAGTGGCTTGACAGCCAATAAATGTCAGAGGCAAGACCTGATTTAGCTTTCCTTCTGATTTCACAGTTCCTTTGATCAAAGTCTTTAGCTTCTTCCACTTTCTAATGCTGCAGTGCACTTGCCAACCTATTTTCACTGTCAGGTTCTTTGTGAGATTTCTCTGCTCCTTATCTTTTACAACAAGAATTTGACCCATAAACTACTGTTGTTTGTTTGTTTGTTTACACTTGTGCACACTTCAAGGTGAAATAACTGAGTGTCCTATGAAATAACATTTAAGTGTAGAATTGAACACATTCCACCAACTCCTTTATTTGCTTCTCTGAGGAAAACCTCGGAGCCATCCTTCCATTTAACTGAGGGTCTTTTCACAGCTGAATTTATGGCGATGCCCACATGAATGGGGTTTATGTTCCTTCTGTGATTATCACCTTGGTCAAATTAAAGTTTATAGATCTTCTAAAAGCTAGGGATCTTACTACCTTCTTTTTCTTTTCTGCTGCTCTATCCCTGTACTGCCAAGGCCAGGGAGTTCGGGGAGGGGGGCAGCCCAAGGGGCTGCAAGAGACTAAGGACCATTTCATACATTTGGTTTTTTGTTATTTCATATTGTTTTGATAACCAGGGCCAAAGATTCATTGCCTGTTGGCTAACCTAATGAAGAGCTGCTCTGTGTGTGGCTAGCAGGCATGGTTCTGTTACCAAGACTGTACTTGAACCCTTGTCAGCATTTGTACTCTGCTGGCACAGCCTTCCAAAACGCAGGGTTACCTCTACTTCACAATATTATTCCATTAGACTTGGAGCCTCCTTGAGGTCAAGGACTATCTTCTGCCTTTCTTTGTCTCCCCAGCACTTAGCACGGTGTCTGGCACTTAATAAATGCTTGCTGACCAGCAGTATGGCACCATCAGAGGACTTTTGTGGAAAAGACACATATATAGGTGTACATACAGACACATACCCAAATACACCCACACACATACTTTCTCCTTTTCAGTATTACATTTTTCTTAACTTTTTTTTTCTTAGCTCAAGGAGAAATTGAAGCCATAGTTGTGCCTGTTTGCTTAGCATTCTTGTTGACCACTCTTCTGGGAGTATTACTCTGTTTTAACAAACTAGACCTGTAAGTACCTTTATTGTTCATTTTGTCCTCATTTTTAGAAATTGTTAACTCGTTCAAAGTTAATTCATAAAGATAAACACAGAAATAGTTTTCTAAAGCTGTAAGAATTCTGTGAACTAGGTAGCAGTATAATAATACTTGCATTTTAAGCATAGTTCTTTAACTTTTTGGTTCAAAAAAATAGTTATTTAAAATTCCAAAAATATGAAGTCTGAAAATCCTGAATATGTAATTTTTTAAAAATTGTTTCACACTACTTCCCAAGTACGTTTTATGAAAAGGTAAAGAAACTATTTTTAAAATCCACTACCACTTTGTGGACTGTGAAGCTTTTAAAAATTGTTAATTGGCTAGCAGAATGAACTTTAGTGCATTTAGGAGCAACATGTTAGTTTTTATGCCTTCCTGTGCCATCAGTTGTCTCCTTATGGATAAAATAAGTCTCTTAAGTGTATTTAATAATAATATTTCCTTACTTGTTGCAATGGGAAGAATTGGAGACTTCTGTTTGCTACTTGTTAAGTATTCCTGCTTTGGAAATATTAAACTTTCAAAAAATTAATATATCTTTCTTTAAATGTATCATTTTCTTCCCATTTCTAGGATTAAAAAACATATTTGGCCTAATGTTCCAGATCCTTCAAAGAGTCATATTGCTCAGTGGTCACCTCACACACCAACCAGGGTAAGATAGAAATTGTCTGGGTTTTATTAAGAACACACATTCACAAAGCTAAACCTAAAAGAAGCTGAGTTGAGCTTAAGAGAAATTTGGTTGACCAAAAGTAAAAGGTATGATAAAAATTGAAGAAAACTCTCATAGATGTCAGGTTGATGCTACCATCATAGCATATTTTATTATGCAAAGTACTATTGTCTAACAGAACAATTTGATGGGCTTAGGGATTTGTTGTTTTGTTTTGTTTTTAGTGGCAAGTCCCCTTTGGATTGATGCCTAAATAATTTTGCAGTAATCTTTTCTTGAATGAATTTTCTAGTCATACCTGATTACCCTATTAACATTTAACAGATTAGAAGATATTTCTTTACATAGGCATACATGCATAAAATACTTGTGTGTCTGCATATATACATGTTCTGCAGTATGTACCCAAAGGTTTCCATCCAAGTAAAAGTTTGGCTTTATAATCCACAGATTTCTTGGTTTCTGTCCAGATAGAATCTTGCAGTCATTTTCTAATATATGTAGAATCTAATTTGTAGGACTTTTGGTTTATGAAATATAACTGCAAATAATATCGAAGGAAAGGTTCGGCAAGTTTTATGGTCTTATTCAATTCCATGTACATTTATTAAGCACTTACTATTTGTAAGGCATTATGCTAGGTTCTAGGGGTACAGAATAGTCCCTGCCTTCAGGGAGCTAAAAGTGATTCATGTTCCTGAACCAGAGTGAATTCACTGTCTGCAGACTCATCTAGATTACTTTGCATTTAGTGAATTTTCTGTCTACCTGATGAAAGTTGGAAAAATTTCAAATGCACTCTTAGATTTGTGAATTGAACATACGTTCATAACTCTTCATAGGATACAGGTTTTATTATTTACTACTGAAAAAATAGCATGAATGTACACCATAAAAGATAGATTGTTTTCTCTCTTTCTCAGCACAATTTGCATCCCAAAGATCAGATGTACCCAGAAGGCAATTTCACTGACACTGATGTCAGTGTTGTGGAAATAGAAGCAAATGAAAAAAAGCCTCTTCCAGAAGATCTAAAGTCATTAGATCTCTTCAAAAAGGAAAAAATAACTACTGAGGGGCACAGTAGTGGCATTGGAGGTTCTTCATGCATGTCATCTTCTAGGCCAAGCATCTCTAGTAATGATGAAAGTGAATCTGGACAAAACACCTCAAGCACCGTGCAGTATTCTACTGTGGTCCATAGTGGCTATAGGCACCAGCTTCCATCAGTTCAGGTCTTCTCAAGGTCTGAGTCCACCCAGCCATTGCTGGACTCAGAGGAACGACCAGAAGACCTACAGATCGTAGAGAATGGAGGAAGTGGTGATGGTGCATCACCCAGGCAGCAATATTTCAAACAAAACTGTAATCAAGATGAAATCAGTCCAGATTTATCACATTTTGAAAGATCAAAGCAAGTTTCTTCAGCGAATGAGGAAGATTTTGTTAGACTTAAACAGCAACAGATGTCAGATCAGAGATCACAGTCCTCTGGATCTGGACCAATGAAAGATTTTGAAGACGTTTCTGCAGCAGATAATTTTGGTTCAAGTACCGAGGGACAAATTCAGAGATTTGAAACAATTGGGTTAGAGGCAGCAACTGAGGAAGGAATGCCTAAAAGCTATTTGCCTCAGACTGTAAGACAAGGTGGCTACGTGCCTCAGTGAGGGAGACTGTTTCCTCTTAAGACTTAAGCAGTGACTGTTTTCCTGTAAAGTAAAGCTAAGTATACTTTTATCTGTGACTTCAGATAAAAACATCACTTATCGAAGGTGGTTATTTGACCTCTGAGACTAAAGCATACTCTTACTTAAATGGGCTATTTCTCTTCCAGAATAACTGGGATTCTACATGAAGCACTACACGAACTGTTTTGCATCCTGTCTGAATAGTTAAATTTGTGCTGCTTCAGGATGTTTGCATTTTAAAAAGAAAAAACTTGTCTAAAATTCTTTAAGTAAAACTTTTCATTTTTATTTTGTTATTGAGAAGACAGAGGGCATTGAAGCAGTCGGCATGGCAGTATGGACTCAGAAATTTACTGACCTTGTTAAGACAGTCAGTCATTCTAAGAATGGTAAAAGTGCAGATATTTGAGCTTAGGAAGATTTTTTTTTAATTGAAGAATCACATGACTGGTTTTCATGTTTTAATAATATAAAGTAATTAACAAATACATTACATGTAACAAGACTGATTTCTACATGCCACAGAAATGGTCAATCTCGTTATTATGTACTGCAACCATAAATAAATTAGGCCGAAGTTGACTCTTTTTCAATTATGGTGATGCCACTGATTGTTACCACAGAACTCAAATTGTGGATCCTCCATCTTAGCAGATTAAAAAGCTTTGATTTTCATTTTCCGTATTATATACTGAACATAATCTTCACTGAAGTAGACTGGGCAGGGGAGAGGATTGGGAAGAGGAAAAGACTGTGCTACTGCTGTCATGAGCCACATTTAGGCAAATTCGTTTTTATTCAGTGTTCAGTGGAAAGAACAAATGCTGCAAACTGCTTTAGGCATTTTTAAAAGCCACTTGTAGTTTGCAGAGGTTTAAATTTCTAACATGTCTCTGTTGGTGTATTTTGAAATTATAGAATCTTATTAGGCTTTAGAAAATGTGGTTAGAGAAGCACTTTATCTAAACTTTTATGTTCAGTTTAAAATTTTTGTCATTTAATATATTTTGTGTTTTTCTCTTTATTTAAGCAGGCAGCATTGAAAAATTACTGTTTTTTCTTAGCACTTGACTCATTTGATGCTAACTGTCACTATTCACTAAACAACAAACCCCAACATAGTGATTTTCCTAGAATTGTAATCATTGTCATCACCAGAATTCTATTTACTTATTTACTGAAGTGAGTGTTTTTAACAAGATACCAACTACTGTCCAGAGGTAGAATGGGAAGTAAGCATACCCAGCCTCATTAATTCTGTCTTGTGGTTAGGGACTTGTTTTAAAGCCTTTTTATATGCTGTCTTACCTTTCAGGGGCCTAGGAGCTACCTCTTCATTACTGCTGGCTTAACTTTGTGCTTCACGTATTCATTTGTATCACCCCCTAAAAGTCCATTGTCTACTAGCCACATTTTAACAAGGTAGAAGTAGGCCAGACAGATTGGATAAATACTTGTTAGAGCTTGAAAAGATAAACAGCTTGCCATCAGCAAAATAGACTCCTACTATCCAAGGAAGGGGTAGGCTGTTTCTGTTTTTATAAGATTTGAGTTACAGAAATCAGACAGACTTTCTGATGTGGCTCTGCCTAAAGGTTACGAGTCTATTATGACTAGAAAGCTAAAGTGAACTGGTTATTTCAAGATGAAATAAAATTCTGTTTTCAACATCTTAATTGTTCACACTAGACTTCCCTCTTTATTTTTGTGAGTATGTGATCCTTACATTTTAATGCTTTATTCTTATCAAAGAGTCCATCTGGCCTAGTAAATGTAGAACTGGCCTCCGAGTCAAGAAGACCTGGGTACAAATCTCCCCTCTGATGCATTCTGACTGCCCCAGGAAACCCTTGAAGAAACTGTAAGTTTTAGAAGAGGTGTTGCTGGGCTGCTTTAGTAGAGGATTTTCCTCACTGGGGAGGTCCATACAGTGATGAAATCACAGACCCAATTTTTTTTAAAGTTCCTTTTTAAAATGTTTTCACATTTATAATTTCATTTAATAGACAATCCTAACTTCTCATGTGCTGAGACATTCAGTTTCCTACTCTTGCCAAAAGACTAGTAGAGTCACAGAATTGTAGACCTGGAAAAGATTTCATTTCACATAAATAGAATCAGCTTGGCCACTGGTTTTCACCTTTTTAGTGTCATGGCCCCTTTTAGTTTTCTAGTGAAACCTGGACAACTTATCAAAATAATGTTTTTGAATGCAAAATAAAATACAGAGAAAACAAATTATATTGAAATACAGTTATTAAAATATTTTTAAAGAACAAGTTTACAGACTCCAGGTTAGGAGCCCTAGATCTATGCCAGTCTCATCATTTTGGAAATTAAACAGTATTCCTTCTGGTACAGGCTAGAACAGTGGGGGTTCGCTACCCCTGGGAGAATTCTGAGTCCATACAACTTAAGACTCAACTAGCAATGACTTGTCTCAGGTTAAAAAATTCAGGGGCATAACTGCCTTTTAAAGTGGAACTTAAATATAGACCCTACAAAGTTCCAAATTTTGACAAATAAACCATCTATCCAAATTTTATTTTCTTTTAAAGTGCTCTCTCCTTTTATCTCTTACAGCAGAAGTGGCATAAAACTCCTAAGTGTGGCCTGAACCAAATTAAAATATAATTGGGAAATATTTCACAAAATAAATAAAAATAAATGTACAGTTCACCAAGTCCTTGTATACAGTTGAGTGTCTCCATTTTCTATTTGAGTATGACACCGTTGTCTTTATAGTCCTTAAATATGCTTCCCTGGCCCTTATCCCATTCTACCTTTTGTATGTGTGGGAGGATACATAAGGTGCCTTGCCTTAGATTCTAAGATCCTTGAGGACAGGCAGGAACTCCTGTTACTCTATGTGTCCCTGCATATGGCACAGTGCCTTTTAACAAAGTAGGTGCTGAATTGAGTAGTAATGTTTCTTTTTAACTGTAACATTCCTTTTTTCAAATCATACTTCTTATATTTACTGTGAATAGAGTTTCTGTTAGTGGTATTGCACTTTGGTAAAACACAAACAATTAATTTGGAAATGAAGTATTTGGTGGGGGGGTGGGGTAAGGCTTGGCATTTTTTGTTTAGTTTGATTTCTTAACAATCCCAGGTAAAAGAATAGATGCTGATTATTTCCTTTACTTTTGGATTTCACTTAGTTTCTATTCCTGCTACTTCTATGCTAAAGTTTAACATTTTTTGCAAAATTTCTTTTAAACAGGTGAAACCCATAGTTTTATTTTATTTAAATCCCTAAGATATGTTTCTCCTAATCAGTTAGCAGAATAACATATAATAATAACTTCATAAATGGATGTTGTATATTGATCTGATATACAAGTGTATTGATCAAGTGTACTTTGTTTTCCCATATGGAAACAAAGAATCTAATTTTTTAAACTAAACAATCTTAGGATGAATAAATACTTTGTGGCAACCATTAAGTGCCTAAAATACGTTCATAGATGGATTAGGCACTGTGCTGAATATAATCAATCCAGTTGAGATGACTTAAAGAAAACACTAGAAAATTTAAAGTCAGAATGTAAAGAAATGTAGACCTACTGTGATAAAGATGATGGAGCCATGAAATTTCAGAGTAAGGAAAAAGTTTTCAATAGGATGTGTTCACAGAGTAGGTATGTCTTGAACTGGACCTTGAAAGAAGTATAGGATTTCCCTTGAGGAGACCTGGCAGAGTATGGTATTCCTCAAAGGAAGAACATGGAGGGAGAAACAAATAGGCAATTTGCCAAGGGGCTATAATAAAACTGGCATAGCCGGTATATATCAATAGTCTAACATTTATTCCCTGAGGCTTTGTAAATACAGACTGAAAATAGATTTGTGTGAATGCCTTAGTCTTGCACTACTATAACTATCACCACTACTCTAATGAAAACAGCAGACCAAAGTGGTTTTCTTACTACTTATGTTTCCTTTTGGTGGTTATGATAATGGATACAGAACAAGAGAATTATCTACTTGTTTTGATTATTCTTTGCAATATCAACCCAGCTTCATTACTCTTTGCCCAAATTTTTGTTATTAGGGACTGACAGAATTTAAATGCCAGGTTTTCCTCCACCAGTTGCTTTAAAGTTATATAAAGTGTAATTTCTTGCTCTACCCCTTTCTGCTCAACCCTACTGATTCTTACCCCTTTTTTCTTCTTCCCCCCACACCGAAAAAGTTCCACCTGTGAAGATGAGCTCTAACTTATGACTAGCTAGATTATGATAGATGGAAAAGGTGTGAAAACTTTTTAACTAGTTTCTCATTCTAAGAGTTGGTTTATTTAAGTAAAGCATTCTTGCGTTCAAACATAATGCAATTGGGAGGCATAATCTTAAAGTGAGTACAGATACCTAATATTTTGTTTAGGCCATCTCATACAAAAGGGAACTTGGATGACTAAACTTAGATTTATAGTAAATTTGGGGTGCTCTTCAGTCTTCCTCAAAAAGCTCAGGGAAAAGTCTAGCTTTAAAAGTAGCACTTAACATGTCTTCTGTCTTCTGAACTAACAATCTGGTTCTTGTCTTTCTAAGCAGAATATTCAAATTGAACTAGTATGACTAGTTTATGTATCACAGCAACTAAAAGCTATCTATCACACGAGGCACTGAGCATTAAGGGCTGCATGGAAATTTGTCATGTCTACATAGCATATGATCTATGTCTACATGGTACCAAAATGCTCAGTCAATAGAATACCAAAAAAGTATTGATAATTAGTTAACCTAATTTAGGTTACTCAATTCAGGTGACCTTGTAGGCTTAGCCATAGTATGAAGCCTTTGGCCTAAAATAGTATGTCTATCCACCCTTCTTTTCCTTTACTTCTCCCCTTTCCTTCTTTGTAGTTCTTAAAGTTTTAGGGGAGTGTGAGTCATTTTAAGAGAGCATCTTGTGAGCAAGACGTACAATGAGACACACAGGCGTACACACACACATACCTTTTACACATATATATATATGTATATGTTTAATATAGTAGATAGAAGCTTGCTTTTTGTGCAGAGATTCATTCTCCTTACCAGGCTTTCACATACAGAATGGACATCCAAAAGATAAAAATGCATTTGGGCATTAATATTTCACTTGCATTTTATCCAAAGAGGAAAAAAAGCCACCATCTTGTTTTTAATGTTAAATTACTATCCTGGGAGATATTTAAAGAAGATACCTGTCTTGTACTTGCTTTGAATATGTATGACAAGTTTGACAAATCTGGCTTGTTTGCAGAAAAACAATTATATTTCTAAACCACTGATTTATTATTGTCTTTAAATATTTAGAGTCAGGATGACTTTATTCTAGATTAAAATAATGACACTTTATATGGAAAACAACCTTTTCATGGAGGAGGGTGAATTCAGTAGTTCAAGAGGTCTATTTGCCCATCTGTAGAAAAAAATTTTGTCAGCTACTAGTTCATTATTAGGACTGTTAAATTTTAACTAATAGTTACTACTAGTGTCCAAGATCTAGCCATATTAGTAGGAAAAATATACCATGCTAAACATTTAGCCATTTTAAGAATAAAAGTTCAAAGAAATTTTTGCTCATGAAAATGTAAAAAAACTTGCTTTGGTCTTTTAAAAATATTAATCTGGGTTCATCTAGGAAGATACCCAACATTTATGCCAAATAAGCTGAATTGTGTATATGATAGAGAATTGGAAGTTAATATAATGTGAAAATAATTAGCAAAATCATTAATTGTACATTTGTATATACTTGTTTTCATATTATTTGCTAAGACTTTATTAAGGATGTTACAAGAACCAATCTGATAAGCTTGATTCCTACTGAAAAGACAAAATTATGAAATTAAGACATGTGTATATACATATACATATACATATATATGTATATGTATATGTATATGTATATGTACATGTATATGTATATAAAAGTGTAACACGCTTTCATTAACCAGAGGATTAATTTAGGTAGAATCACATATAGTTTGGGGCAATACTTGTTTTGCCAGCACACACACTAAAACTGGAATGATAACAGTGAACACTACTAGCATGTCCTCCCTGTCCCCCCTCTCTCCCCCCACCCCCGCGCAAAGCTGGCACGCAAATTCACGGTCCATATTTTTTCATTTGTACTTTTAAAATCTGAAAACCTAAAAAAAAATTGGTTTAGGACATTTGGATTAAGTTGAGTTAAAGTACAAATACTTACAACTTTTCTCTTCAATGCTTCACCCACACACACATACACACTTAAGCCAACCAAAACACAACTATAGAAAGAGAATGATTACATTGTAGAACTTCCACAACTTTAACCAGTTGACTAATTGATATCATTAAGTCAAGAAGGGGTCCTACGATACCATTTCATGTCTCATCATTTTACTTTATATTGCTCTGTTTTCTCAATGATGTATTCATTAAGTAGCAAATTTTAAAACTCTGTGTTTTGTGTTTCAAGTTGCATTACTTGCTTCCCATTTCAATAAAGTATTTTATTCCCTTGGGATGGGTTAACTGTTTGAAAGTCATTAATATGCTACACAAAACTATTCAAATGAATGGGGAGCAGTGTGGGGCAGCACAGGAATTTAACTTTCTGCAAGTCAAGAACTTAGATACTTGCACTGAGGTGGTCATTACTGGCTTATGGGGATAAACTTTTCATGACAGTTTAGAAAAACCAGAGCAGCACTAAAATGTCAGCACAAGCACACATCCAGATCTAAGTACAAAAGTACTTACTAAAGCTAAATGTAGATGATTTTTAAATTACTGTGTATTTGAAGGTCAGTAGTACAAAGAGTGTGATTATATCCTTGACTTTAATTAAAATAGAAAGATCAGCATAGATTCTTTATAATAATTAAATTCTTTTTTAAATTGGGAAATCCAGGGACAATTCCATTGCCAAGTAGTGTACTATGGCTTAATCTATTATAAGTATTATAAAAGTAATATCAAGAAAATTATAATAAAGACCGTTTGATGAAGCCCTTGTAGCCTTTCTGTGTAAGCTTCATAAGAACATAGATTTATGCAGTTATCCCTTCCACATCACAACTTTCCCCATCGAGGTTTTGATGTATCTTGAGTTGGCATGAGAAATGAAATGGAAATTTTGTGGAAGCTGCAGATGACATGCAAAGGCCAGCAGATGACACAGAAAGTTTAGAAACTCAGAAATGCATAAAATACATGCATGGTATTATATCAATTTGTTTTGTCTTTTAATACCATAATAATTCAGGCTTCTCTGGCACAAAGGGAGGGCCAAAACATTTTATGCAGATTTTCCAGATCATGGAGGGGGGGAGGGAGGTCACCACACTCCTACCCCTTCCCATGTGGAAGGGATAAGTGTACTTAGTTGTAAGCAACCTCAGAAGTCACTGAGTGCAACCCCTTTAATTTATAGAAAAGGGTCTGTGGCCCAGAGAGGTTTACCAGCTTACACAAGGTCATACAGAGGTTGTAAGTAGCAGAGCTAGGATTTCAACCTATATCCTTGACTTCAAATTCATTGCTAAATTCACTGAACCTTGCTAAGCCCTAGAGAATATAAAAACTGCCATAAATGTCATATAAATGCCCAAAAGCTGCCCTTAAGAATAAAAAGGTATAAGGACAAATTATTTTTTAAAAGCTAATCAAATTTTTTAAAATTATTCAAATATCCTGAATCCTATTTTAATCATAAATGGGTAATTACCTAGTACTGTGATTAGCACTACATTTGTACTCTGCCTCCTTTTATTTTATATCCTAGCTCTGAGCAGTTTTCATGTAAACTATGCCCAAAAATTGTTCCCTTGCTAATTCTGCTGTTCCCACACCTAACTCCAATCCTGTGTTCACTAAGACTTTCCCACAAAATAGTGTGTTCTTAAATTTGCAGGCAAATGCACATATAAACATGTCATCAACCATCATTTGTTGTTACTCCAAAGGTGACATTCAATATTCCATATTGAATAATTTTCCTTACACATTGTACCTGTGAACCTTTAAATAAATTTAAGGAGTAGACCTTTTTTCATGTTCTTGGGTGATTGCTATCATTTAAGGCTACAATACAGATGGAAAACATTTGTAACTCTTGGTGTTAGATAAAGCAAGAGGGAAAAAAGCAAGTTTCAGGAAACATGAACTAAGTGCTCTGAGTATTTCAAAGTACCAACATAGCATGATAGCAGTATTCATCAGAGGGTAATTGATGTTTCATTGGCCCAAATATTAGTGCTGAATATACTTGGCAAATAGTTTTGCCACATTTCTGATTCTCCAACAGAAGTTTCCCATAATCCCACAGCAAAATCATTTTCCCCCAGGGATATGCTGGCAGCTGCGAACACTATCCCTGTGCCACCTGTGCCCATCCTGAGAAATTGTGCCTTTCCAGAATCCATTTCAGGGGAAAATTGTATAGACACTGCTATCCCACCCAAGGAGACAAGCTGCTTTCACGCCCCTCCCAAAACTGCCTGAAACTGAAGTTTACTGAGCTTAAAAAGTCAGCAGGTCATTAGAAATGGCAGAAGATAGGACCTTTATATTCAAATATGCCAGGGAAGGATCGCAAAAGCGTTGCTTTTGATAACCATAATTCTTTTTTGTCCCAGCTTACTTAGGATACAAGAACTCTAAGCAAGTCATTAAAATTAAGATGAGAAAATTGAGATGTTGAGATTCAGGACAAAAGAAAGATTTAAATTGAATGGGGTCGGGGGGGGGGGCGCGCAAGAAGAGGGGGAGGAACTGACCAGATACTGCAGACAGGGAGAGTAGAAGTGAAGGTGCCCAGTTATTCTCAGACAGTAACAGGAAAAGGAAAATGAGGCAGAAATTAAACTTTTGTCATCACATCTACACCCTACTATTTAGAGTATGAGTGAAAGACGTAAAGAAGCCTGCTGGGTATGAGACTTGGTAGGATAAGCTTCACGACTAGATGTGGCAATAGAAAAGTACACTTTGTACAAAGGAAAAAAGGGGTCAAAGGACTTATTTTTTTTAAGTTTTACAATCACTTTTTTTTTCAAGGAAAGGCAGCCTTTATCAAGCCCATACTAGCCAGAAGGGGTTTATGCCCCTTTTTAGGGCTGCTCATCGCCTTTGGTGTCCACCTGTCACCCAACTCTCACCTGTGGCTCCAAGAAGCTGTAGCGTCCGCAGCAGCCACACCCTGGTAAAACGGTGTCGGCAGACAGACTAACCCAGGCTGAGGGTAACCAACAGACCTCAAATCCCTCAGTGAGTTAGGGGAAGTTTACCCCAAGCATGTAAAGATTTCTCCTGGCCCAATGCTCAGATGAGAACAATTTGTTCCAACCACTGTGAAGGTGGCTGAAGCAGGTGGAGTGCTTTGAGCCTGGTCACACACCAAAGGTGCCAAGGTAACCTACTGCATTCTGGGCCATCGGCAGTCATCTTGACTTTTGTCGCTACTGGGCTTCAATGACTCCAGAAGAGAGGGTGAGGCTGACAACTTTTACAACTCTGACTCACTTAAATCCATTTGACAAACAAGTCAAAACATCACCGTGATGTTATCAGTCCTCTTCGAAAACCAAGGATCCACAGCAACAACTAGCCAGATGTTGTGCTAAGCCTAGGGATAAAGATTCGAGCAAAAATAAAGAAGCTCCTGCGTTCAAGGAGCTTATATTCTAATGGAGGAAAAGGAAGCTGAATTGGGAGGTGGGAGGGAAATACAGGTAACGATGGGTCATGGTGTTGAAGTCCAGAAAAGTCAAAAGCATAGCCAGGAAGGAGGTGAAGTTTGGCCCTCCCCGAGCCCATCCCCAAAATGGAAGGCCTAAAAGGAGCTCACGGATGGGAAAAGACAAGGTGGAGGTGTTAGAGTTAGAAGGGCTTAAGTTTCCACAGGTAGAATAATGCAGAGATTTAAAGAACAAAGGTCCCAGGAGGTGGCACACTGTAGGTGGGCTGGGCTTGACCAATAGGAAGTGAGTGGATTGTTCCAAGAAGACCCCAAAATCAAGATAGGGGTCGAGCCAGCTCAGACCAGTTAGGGTCAACCTGAGGACACCTGAAAAATGTTAGTGCCCCTGCTTAATGAACTTCATTACTATTAGCTGACACAGCCCGCATAAAATTAGAGCCTCATTAACGAGTCATGGGACGTATGACCAAGGGAGGGGGAACATACTTGAGCACATCAAGGGGAAAGATGTAAGGAAAGGTGTAACCTGGGAAGGGTTGGACCAATCCCGGCCTGGGAGGTTTTGCGCCGAATTCAACTGCATAAAAGCACACTTTCCCTTGTATTCAGGGCCCACCCCTCCTGAAGAGGGGTGGATCCCGCTTCTGGCCAGAAACATCTAAATCCTCTGGACTTTCTTTACAATAAATTTTCTTAATACTAACTTTTTGGTGTCAAGCCTATTTCTAACAGAGGGATGTCCCAGGGTAAGAAGACAGCAGGAGAAGATGAATGTTCTTGGATGAGAAGACTGTAGGTGAGGATGCCCAAGGCACTGAGAGAGCTTCCAGCATGAGACCGAAGCTGAGGCATGGTGTTAAAATCAAGAAAGTTGTAGCCAGAAGGGGACAATCATTTCACTTTGTGATGTTTAAGTTTGAGAGACATAATTTCTAGGTAATTAATCATTTTATTAATAATGCTAGCATTTTTTACTGCTAAATTTTTGCAGCCTTTTGATGTTTGTGTTTGTATTACTGTAATCATTATGTTCATTGTTCTACTTCATGCTGTTTGTCTTGCTACATCTCCCAGTTCTCTGGATTCTTTATTTCTTATGGTACAATAATATTCATAACATTTACATTTGTTCAGAAATGTATTCTTTAATGTGTGAGTACCCACATTGTTCCTAATTATCTTTCCTACCAAAAAAAAGTGCTGCTATAAGTATTTTGGTGTTTGTGGGAACTTGACCTGTGACTTTCTTGGGGGTGGATATCCAGAAATGTGATCCTAGAAACCTAGTGACGGACGCTATTCTCCTTCATTCCTTCCTATTTTTCCCTCTAGTATCCCTTGAGATTCTAGACTTATTGTTCCTCCAAATGAATTTTTATTACTTTGTCTAAATCTATAAAGTAACCCTTTGGCAATTTAATATAGTATTAACATCTCCAAATTTCCCTCAAAACACACACACACAGAGTGTTCTACCCCTTTCACTGTGCTCACTTGAACATGTGCTTCACAGGCAACAAAAATTTGCCTTCGTCTTAAATTCTTTCCTTCCCTGTGCTGTAAGAAATCATGAGCTCAATGATTTTAGAAAAACACAGAAAGACTTGCACAAAATAATGAAGAGTGAAATGAGTAGAACCAAGAGACTATTATATGCAGTAACAGCAATATTACTCTAAGAGCAACTTTGAGGAAATGAGTTATTTGGTCTATTATAAATACCCAAATTAACTGTAAAGGACATATGAAGAAAGATGCTGTCTGCATCCAGAGAAAGAACTGATAAATAGAAGTATGTATGTAATAATTTTACATATATAT